ACAGTTAATCGTATAACACAAAGTTTCTCTCTTGAGATACCGATTATTTTACGTTATGTAACTAAACCTTGCTTGGTTTGAACTTGAACTTAACTCATGAACAGGTGACTAATGAAACTGTTGCATTACACGAATTACGTCAAAGGCCAACAAGCATAACAACTAACTTAACTTAACTTGGTAACACTTAACTTAACACTTAACTTGGTTAACTTGGTTCACACCGGCAGAGCCTTTATAAGTTTTTGGAAAATCCAAGAAGATAATCAAGGTTCTCGTCTGCCGCAAAATCTTACGAAATATAATATAATAGAATGATGCAATTATTGCATTCATAATAGCTGATGGATTTATGTATAAAAAATAAACTTTATGTACATTAAACCAATACAATATTCCCCTAAATATAATACTCTGTTTCAAAAATTCTTATAAAATCGGTATGTGTGTAAATATATGTGTATCATATATGTTTTGATTAAACGATTTTTATATCATATCACACACACACAACTATTCAAACTGCAAGTTACAGCCAGTGTATGATTTTAAGTTGAATAATTATGGTGTCGGTTCTGTTTCTCTGTTTCACTAGTCTTGTCTGTTTTTTTTTTTTATATTAGAGGGGCAGACGAGCAGATGGGTCAGTCATCTGATAGAAAATGACCATGGCCGCCAATTAACGTCTGCAAGTCAGGAGTCACAAACTTGAGTCACAAAGTCTGTGTGTAAAAACAGTACCCAGGCTCGATAAAATTATTTGTGTATAATTTTTTTATCCTGTTTCGCCAATTTCGCCGAGATCTAGATCCAGACATGCTGTCAATGTCTTAAGTCTGGGTGTTATTTATTTCCGTTGCATGTTTGTGAAGTTAAATGTTACACAAGAAACATTATTAGTGCGGGACTTATCCATTCAAACAACTCGGAAACGCCCTAATTCTTAGAAGATATATTAGCACCATCAACAAAATAACTTCATTACAAATTGACATTTAATTGACAGCATTTTTTTTTCAATAGAACAATAATTTAATATAGTGAAAATGTTTTGTTAATGTAAGCTGAATGGTCATTAGCTATTAAATGTTAATAGAAACTAACGGTACATATCATAAAACACCAAAGTTGATAGCGGTACTATAAAACTGGGAGAACGAAACAGTGACCGCCCGTAGCTATGTCAACGGAAATAGAGATATTTTAATATTAATTTAGTCATATATAAAGTTACAAGCTATAAACCTACACATTTAAAATAAAATTAAGCAAAAAAAATAAGTGAGAACTCAGAAGTTTCTTCCAATAACAATACTAGGATAGGCATTTCTAAGGATCACGGTAATGCTAAAATACTCAAAACACATTTTCTGCATTAGATTTAGTCTTTATAGCTCTCTTGCAGCTACTGGAATTTGTGTGTATATGTACGTGTTTGCATACTTATAGATATTACAATCGTCGTAAGTCCCTTAAAATTAAATATAATTTTAAAGGACTTACTACATTGCGCTCCTATCAACCCTAACTAAGTGTAACTTTACTCGTAATATGCTTGTAAAGGGGTTTGAAAGCAATCCAAATAATATATTGGCATCACGCCCTACCTTATTACCTTTTGGTATAGGAGGACAAACAAGCAGACGGATCCCCGATGGTAAGTGGATACCGCCGCCTATTTACTGTTGCAACTCAAGAGCACCAAGTGTGTTACCGTACTTAGAGTCGCATCTAGTTCCAAACTAAGCAGAGCTTGTACTATGGGTACTAGACAACTGATATAAATACATATATATATATTTTTGTAAATGCATACATATTATACATAGAAACACCCAGAAAAAATCAAATATTAAATATTCACACACACAAATGTTTGTATTGAGCGGGAATCGAACTCGCGACCTTCGGCTTAGCAGTCAGTTACTCAAACATACAGTGACATTAGCAGTGCATATCTAAACTATATATTTTTGTAAGTTGACCCCAGAAGCTCATCTTGGGTCAAGCATCAAAATATACAATTTAATTAATTTATTCAATTAATTAAATTTTTGGATACTTTTAAATAAGTAAATGTGTTCAATGTGTAGTCTAGTGTGTCCGAAGTTTATAAATCTGAAAGAATACAATTTAAAGGATTTGTTATTTTGTACTGTATGTCTCACAGTCGGCTGATTTTTCGTCTTGATATCGCTGGTTAGTTAAACCAGCCTAGCTGCCTCCAAAAGCACAGAAGCCTTGTGCAACGTGTTTACAGGTTTCCAGGAGTGTGTGAGATGGAAATACATCCGTGGCCACGTAACTCACTTCAGAATAATGTGCTTTTTTTTATTTGAGGGGGCAGACGAGCAGACGCGGCACCGGATGGAAAGTGACCATCGCCGCCCATGAACGTCTGCAACTCAGGAGTCACAAACGCGTTGCCGGCCTTGTAGGAAGGAGTACGCTCTTTTCTTGAAGGTCGTATCGGTTCCTAAATACCGCAGATTGGTTGTTCCAATGAGGCAAAAAGTGTCTTGAAAATCGCACAGTAGTGGACTGCCAACTATCCAGGTAAAGAGGATGAAAATTTTGCCGTGTGGAACATAGCCTTTAAATCTATGTAAAGCACTAACTCTTATGTTTATGGTAAACAATATGGTGACTAAATGGTCCGCCTTATTCCATTCAACAAAAAAATATTCATTTTTCGTTAAGTTTTATTACAGTGCTGTAAATTCTCTCTTCTAAGAGTCTCTACACACAGGATTGTTCGTATGAGGTCACATTTTTATTACTTTCATTGTTTAACACTCATTGTGTCTTAAGTTTAATTCTCGAGTATGTGAAAATTATGACACTGTTTTAGAGTCAATCACCCGTTAGAAATTATATTTTAAATAGTTTTAAAATGTGAAATTGTTTTTAAACGATTATTAATTAGCGGGCTCCGTCTAGTAAGTAGGTTTATGATTAGGTAAAACATTGTTAAGTTTTTGATATCACACATATATATAAACTTATGGTGATATGTATACCTTACTTTTTAGACCTTTTTTTTAATTTCTCCTTACTATGTATTGCCCGCTACTAAAAAGTCTTCTAATTCAATTCTTATATTCAAAATAATTAAATCTTAACCTTTTTATTTTAATACAGAGAGTCACCACCCCTATTCATCCTGTGGGTGTCGTAAGAGGCGACTAAGGGAGAAAACTACGCAGGACAACAACACTGCAGAGAAAGGGAAAACTTGAAACAAACCCTATACCAACCCGTCTGGCCAGCGTGGTATAGTAGGCCAAAACCTCCTTTCTAAGGGGAGGCCTATGTCCAGCAGTGGACTATTAAAGGCTGTTGATGATGATGATGATGAACCTTTTTGGTTATCTACAGTCTGCAATATACTAAACTCATGATATTTTGCTATTAACTTCATTTTTCCGTATTATATGGCTGGTTCCTTTTAAGGTCCACCTGCCTGATGTTATCCCTTCTTAGAAATATAATCTTTTTCATACACGACAAGGGAAGAAGGTGAGTGGGAGTCAGGAAAACTGGTAGGGCTTGGGGGCGTTACCCTATTAAGGGATACCCTAAGACTCGGATAGAGAAAGGGGACTGAGACTGCAGAATCTCGAAGAGGTAAGGGTCCCGTAGTTGCAGAAGCTAGGAACCGGTATAGACTCCTTTGAGTAAGGAGTTAAAAAATAATAATTTCTCTTCTAATCTTTAATAAGGCTCCTTTTGACATAATTTGTACTGCCTTTACAAAGTGTTTGGAAGTAGCAGATCTTTTTTAAAGAGTAGATAGGTGTCTATACCAACCGAAACCTCCTTTCTAAGGAGAGGCCTATGTCCAGCAGTGGACTATTAAAGGCTGTTGACGTGATGTGATGTGAGGTGTCTTTTTAAAGAACTAAATTACCTACTGCATACTTTTTGATACTCGATATAATATGATCTTCGAGGACAGATAGAAACAACATTACTTTAATAGACCTCAGGATACACATAGATACATACCTACATTTTTAACATTCTCGTCCTAGTTAGTTTAAGAAACAGTTTAAAAAGTTTGCATAAATAAGTAGTATTAATAATTTATGTTATAGCCTTAATGTGCTTATAATGGCCTTAAGATGGCCATAATTGCTTGTTTCGTTCACACCGGTCCTACCAAACGGGTGTCGCCTACAAACTGACAAATCAAGTTCAAAGTTCATGTCTAAATATAGTTATTTATCGCTAAGTTTATTTGCGTTCGAGAAAGGTAAACCGACATTTCTAGCTAACACTATGTCCTGTGTACAAAACTATCTTACATATTGATATTATGTACGTTCTGAACAAGTATACAGCTAACTTGATAGTAATAATGAACCGTTATAATACCTAAATATAAACCATCTTTAAGTTTTTGTTTTCGATATATGAAAACTTCCGTGGTTATTGCTTCTTAATTGACAAAAAAACAGGAGGATCCCATTTCAACTGTGTGTTTCTGTTCATGTCTGTTGCCTCAAAATTCCATAATTTATGAACCGATTTTATCTTTTATTTTTATTGCGGAGTGTATACTTTCTGTTTTGATCACATTCAAATTTAAATAGAAAAATTCCAACTCTAAAGGTGAAAATAACGGAATGAAGAATACAGTTTGTTACAATTTATGATGACGTAGTCGCATTTACGTTGGTAATACTTTTATTAGAGCTAATTATGACTGACTTATTCTAGAAGAAGATGTACCTGATCATGATTTTATTTCTACATTGCTGTGTCAGTACTCTTAAACACACCGTGTCCCGTTGGCTTAGCCTTATTTTCTAAATATAAAACTCCGTATATTACTAAGCTTTTAAATAAATTGCCTTGGAGTGGTACAATAATCAACGTTATCACCGAGCCCTATAGCCTGTTTTTAGTTGCATCCATGCAATGATAGGACATTTCACAATAATACCACAATAAACTTCAACAAACAAATTTATAAAATAAAACTTAGTTTCGAATTCTCACTGTCCTTTCGCGACTGCTACAGCAATGGCGTCCCCGGTTCCAGACTTAGCATTACTTATGGAACCACTGCCAGATGACTTCCCCCCACAATTGTCAGTACAAGGTTCATTGCTATATCTACTGAAGGGCTCCTGTTCTGATGTTCTCTGTGGCGGTCCTGGTGGTGGTCTCGGTGGCGGTCCGGGTGGCGGCGGCCAGTAATCGCGTGGTGGTGGGGGCCAGCAGTCTGGTGGAGGTGGCCAGTGTCTATGGTGCCCGTAATATCCTGGTGAACGTTTAAATCTCTGCACGAGACGGCCATCCGTACCTTGAATAATATTTCAATAAATTAACCTTTACATAATATCTTTTCTTCCTTGAAAAAGACTTGTATTAAGATAGATCATTTGCGACGATCGACATTTGAATTTCTACTACCTTAACCCGTTTTCTAACAATTTTTTTTTTTTTTTTTTTTAATTAATCCTGCATCTTGCTATAAGTTATTACACTGATGACCGGGTCCAGGTCCGGTCCGGGTCTAATTCCGGTTCCAGACCGGATTAGGATACACCTTGACCGCGTAGTCAGATTGAAGGAAACTTGATTTCTGTTATAAGGATTCAGTTACTCCACAGTTTTTTAGAAAATAGGAGCAAACGGGCACACAAGTCATACTTTACCATCTAGTGACTTGTGTTACCATTACCATACCATACCATAAGGTAAGTTACTACCGCTGCCCATGGATACTTACAACTCAAGAAACACAAGTGAGTTGGCGACCTTTGAGTGGCCTCCCAGGATTAGGTAGGAAAGGCGGCTAGTCACTTACTCGGTGAAAAGAAATGAAAGAATTTGCTTATCACCGATTTTCTGTGAGGCCACTCCAGACGAGCGGGCCCTTAATATATGCCGAAGCACGGCTCTGCCACGAATAATATTTTGTCCAATGAAACTACACAAAGTCATCAACAGCCTTTGATAGTCGACTGCTGGACATTGTCCTCTACGTAGAAAGGAGGTTTTGGCCTACTATACCACGCTGGCCGGGTTGATATAGAGTTTATGTCAACGTTTCCTTCTCTTTGCAGTGCTGTTATCCTGCGTGGTTTGCTCTCTTAGTCTGCTCTTATGACACTCACTGTCTGAATAGGGGTGGTGAGATTCCGTATTCTTAACCCGTCACCACACAAAGTAGCCATTGAATACCAGTGTTGTTACTCAAAATCAAACTTACAGCTTAATAATGTCACACCAGTAGACGTCCAGCAGTGGACTATTAAAGGCTGTGATGTGATTTGAATGTCACACCAGAATGTAACATATTTTTTGAAGTTAACATTGAGTAGCTAAATACCTAACACAGATTTATTTCCATCGTTCAGGACATGCGACTACGACAAGAAATATCCTGTTGATTGATTACTGCACTTACTTTGGGTGCCCGCCCATGTTAATTCTAATAACACTACCGCCACCAACAGAACACCAATCCGACACATCGCAGAAATAATTTATGAACACTTTATCAACAAATACAGTTTATATAACGAACTACTGAACAAATATGCTTGAAAAATTCCATGAAAAATGATTTTTCGCAGGTAAATGCTAAAATAACTTGTGTCAACGTAGACGATGTATTGCAAAAACCAATAAAAAATTGTGATTCCCAGTAGCTCTATTCAATAAAGGATGGCTTTACACGATCAAATCTGAATATACATTTTTTACTTGGGAGAGCTAGGCTTCAGCACATTAGAGCGGCCAGATCGGAGGCCGATCTCTCATAGAAAATCAGTGTTAGGAATTTCAGTTAGAGAGTGTGGCTAACGGAGGCCCGGCCGCTTGGCACCGAATTATAACTTCACCGGAGCTGAGCTATATTGGTATGTCGGACTCGGCGCCCCACTCAAAACACACGGTTTTCCGTCACAAATGTGTCTTTTACAGCCGTCACAGGGGACCTGGACACCTGTTTATCAAGTGACCTAATTTTGCAGAGGTTCTCGGTTCGTTCCCTGTTAGGTGTAGGGAATGCCAAATAGAAGAGACTTGAGTCCATACGTCACAGATAAGTTTCTGTTAATCCTCTTGTTGGTGGTAATAAATTGGTGTAATCTTCTTCTTCCTAGCCGAAAGACAATTGCCGTTTGACATAGGCCTCCCCCAAGTTTTTTCACAATAACCGGTCCTGTTCTTCTCGCGTCCAACGGTTTCCTTTACCTTCACCAGATTGTCGGACAACCTTGTGACGGGCCTACCCACGCTCTGTCTTCTGCCTTCGTCTTACACCAATCCGTCTTCTGGATAAGTTGGTGTAATTATTTACTAGCAGAAAAATACTGTCTTGGAGTTATTTTTTAATTTACCTTTTCCATTGTCAGCTACCGATTGCAATATATGTTTTTAATCGTAGCATCTTCTATGCATAATAATTCAAATATTATTAATAAGAAACCTTTTATTCATTAGATTGATGCTAAAAAATTATATTGTGTAGCGTTCCTTATTTCAAATAATACTAGTATTTGTTTATTGACATGTGGTTTTGATAAGGTAAAATTAATTTAGATCTCTTAGATAACTATTTGTATCGCCTCTTATGTGTCAAAAACCTAGTTCCTGTTGCTCGAGTACAAGGGTTTCAGAGAATCTTTCTGCATTCTTCTCGTTCGATGAGATAAAACTTCCGTCGCCTTCACTGGAACACTTCCTACTCCACTCCACTACTTCCACTCAAGACACTTCCTAACTCACGAAACCAACATAAAATTAAAATCCCTTTAGATTGATTCATATACTCATTTAGCCTACCTATATATCTATGTATTTTCTTTTTTGGACCCCAACTCACAAAGTAACACATTGACGGGCTCATTAGTCTAGTGGCTAGTGAACCTGACTGCTTAGCCAGCGGTAGTGGATTCAATTCCCACCCAGAACAAACACTAGTGTGATCAGCACGATCATTTGGTCTTTATTTTGTTGTAATTTTTTTTATATTCTACCACATTCACACAACGCCATCTTGTCCCAAACTAACGGTACTAGACAATTGATATAAATACATATATACTTTTTTTTGTAAATACAAACATGTTATACATAGAAACACCCAGACCAGACCAAATCAAACATTAAATGTTCATGCACACAAATGTTTGACTTGAGCGGAAAGCGAACCCGCGACCTTTGGAATAGCACTACGCCATCCGGTCGTGTGTAACATGTATGTACTGGTATTTACAAATAAATAAGTATGTTTATAAGCAATCTGGTTACCATTGTACTATACTTTTACTTTACTATTGTACTACAAATTCTGCCTAGTTTGGGATCAGAGTGGTGTGTGTGATGTGTCAAGTTATTATAAAAATATCATTTTTGTACATTCCTATTTGGAATATGATTAACGGCTGCCATGTTTCTGACTTTTTATCGAGTCAAACTCCATAAATCCAAACATCTCAAATTTCCCAAACATCCCAAACTCCATAAACACTAAACCCAATTTATTGTAGGCTTCTGACTCCGACACTCTTATTATATCTCTACGATTCTAATGCTTTTTGTGTTGCCAGTGCCTGTCATTTATTGCAGCTCCATCACCCTGAAACATACCTCTAAACATCTCTAGGTATTTAGACCATCTAAATTCCTAGAGATACTTAGAGGCATGTGTTGTTTTATACTTGGTGTTGCAATCTCCTTAAGAGATTTATGTTTCTTCATCATCATCATCACCACATCATCCGTGTGGTGACGGATTTACAATATTGAGTGTCACCACCCCTATTCATCCCGTGGGTGGCGTACGAGTCGACTAAGGGAACTAACTACGCAGGACAACAGCACTGCAAAAAAAAGTAAAACTTGAAACAAAAACCCAGATGGCCAGCGTGTTATAGTAGGCCATAACCTTCTTTCTAAGGAGAGGCCTATGTCTAACAGTGGACTACTAAAGGCTGTTGATAATTTATGTTTAATATTTTTATAATAATAAAAAAAAACTTATATTTAATGAACAACAAAATATGTAAAAAATGTAGATTTAGAATTATGTTTTGACGTGCAAGTCTTAAGATTCGCACGCCAATTTATTAAAGCATCCAAGTATTATAATTGTATATCATCAATCCATCATCATTGTAATGTTGTCAACTTATTCTATATCAGCAAAGTAAAGCAATTAATCACCAGAACCATTGATGAATGTCTACCTATCTGAAAGTTTCAGGAGAGCAAAAGTAACATTAACAATTTATTGTTTTCGACCATATTAATTAAATAACTAGTATTGTAATGTAACATTTATTTTTAAGTTATAATATAATGATCAAATTATAGACAGGGTATCTGAGGTTCAAGACCTGGGTTTAGTTAGATAGTAAACTAATGTTTTATAGCCATATAACATCTATTACAATTAAAGCTTTAGGAATGTTGGGTTTGTATTAAGGATCATAAGCCAGGATCAACACTGTGGTTAATCCAGAGTGTTGCTCCTGTAGTATAAAACTATTATTAGACTCGAGTACGAATCGGTAATGTGGCATCCACAATACAATATATATATAGATGAAACAGAAATATACAAACAATAAGATATGCACCAAATTATATATGCTAAAATTAAATTAAATTGAAATCTTGCAGCTTATTTAACAATCTCATTAATTTACTACGAGTATATTTTCTTCACCAAAATTTAGGAAGTCTGTCCATAGCTGTCTTGTTCCTTCCTTATAATAACTGAAATTACTTTTTTTTCTCTCTATTTACCATATGTGCGGTCTCTACCTGTACATTAATTTATTTCTTTTAACTTGTATCTGTTTGTTTCCCTAATTAAATAAAAATAAAATAATAAAGCAATTTTAGCAACTCTTTGATTAAATAAAAGGGTGAAAGGAAAAACACTGTCAAGTTCAACAATTTATTTTTCGAAAATGTACCTTATTTACATTTTTAACATAAACATACATAAAATTCTGTTTTTTTTTTTCTTACTCTAACGTAACTATAACATTAAGCCAATAAATTATATGACATTCAATTGTTCTTGAACAAAATCTATATTAAACAGGTATCAAGATTTAACCGCTTACTGACACGGCTACAGCATTTCCGGTGTGACTCCTTGCATTACTCAGGGCATAGCTACCCTTTCCACACGTGCTGCAACCTGGCTTTTGTCCAGCTGCTTCTATCCCTTGGTTAGCCAGGTTTACAGCATCTTTTAAAGCTGATTTCGACCTATAATAGCCGTATCCGTTAGAGTTATTATCAAATCCACCTGTATATTGTGGACCTGAAGCAACTCCTGCGGATAAACCTGAAGAAGCTGATCCACTTCCGAATCCAGCTGATTGCTGTTGGCTCTCTCCATATTGTTTGGATTGCTCTTGAGTTCCCGTCAAACCATGACTGGAAGACTCTGAATTTATGTGACCAATCGCATCAAGTTTACCCCTTTGGGAAGATTGGAATTCTTGGTACGCGAAATTATTGTTACGGTGAGAGGACCCACGACCACCCTTACCACCAAAATTACCACCACCATTAGAGGAATGGCCGTCATAATCATTTGAAGACTGAGAAGTGAAACCGCTGCCAATAGACGACTGCGAGTTAGATTCTGAAGACTGTCCTGATCCAGCTGAAAATTGATCCGCTCCAAAACCGCTAGACTGAGCATTAGATCCTGCTGCGGATTGTCCATTAAAGCTAGGTACAGGTTTTTGACGATTACCAAAGGAGCCCTGATGATAGTTCTCTTTGAAGTTACCACCATAACCTCCAGACGATTGACCATTGAAATTACTTGATGAGTCACCATTCGATCCATATGTTGATTGTCTACCAAATTTACCTGATTGACTGTTTGATCCCCCCAATGAACCCTCTTGATACCTTGACGATCCCTGGTCGTGATAATGCCCTCTATGTCCACCGCCATAATTACCATCGTTTCCTCCAGAAAAATGACTATCAAAACCCGATGACTGAGAGTTCGATTGGCCAAAGTCACCCGATTGGTCGTTGATTCCCATAGAGGACTGCTTATCAAAATTGGATGAACCTTGATTATAGGAGCCGTAGCCACCATTATATCCACCACCATACCCACCAGAATGGTGTCCAGATGAATACTTATCAAAAGTAAGTGATGATTGAGCATCAGATCCAGATGTCGCTTGTCCTCTGAAACCACTAGATGACTGCGATTTAGATTGTGCAGAAGACTGACCGCCGTAACCGCCAGAGTTCGAATTAGATCTGGCAGAAGAGCTTCCTTGTCCACTAGAACTTGATGATGAGGAACTACTTGAAGCTTGGGAACTTGCTCCATCATTGTAACCACCAAAGCGACTTTCTAAACCAACGATGCTAGTGGGTGCTACCGCCGGTTTCTTGTTACTTCCATCATCTACAGCGGCCAGGGAGATGGCTTCGCCACCACTAGCTTCGTTTCCCCCGATAGCCGCACTTGCCCCGCTAAATACCCCATGTTGTTCGCCGCTCCGTGTCAGTCCGCTCCACTGATGAGCATGGAAGAAGCCTGGTGGAGGATTATCTATAACAAATTATGAAATTTCTTTTACTTTCTATATTTATTGTGGGCAGCATCTACCTTTAAGAGTTTTAGGCTTAAGTATTCAAACGAAAGTAATTAAATTTTATTCACTTTCTAAAATTTATTTTTTAATTATGTATTAAGTAGTAACATACTTTTGCTTAGGGTGTGAGATACTTAGTATATTTTTTTACTTGTTCGGCAATGATTGACTTGACTTAGTCCTGAGAACGTAATGTCTAATTTGGTTTTATAGCGACTTTACCTGCTTATTTTTAGGTTAATGTTGCAAAACAACTTGTTTTCAAAAAGCAAGAGATTTATTACTATCGATTTATTTACTAATTAATCTCTTGCTTTAAACTCATTTTCGTACCTTCAGTTGGTTTTATAGCGCTTCCAGCCGTAAAAGCGCATAATGATAAAACAAAAACGACCGTTTTCTCCATCTCGCTAAACTATATGTGCCGTTCTGAATTTTTCAGATCAACCACTTACTTTTATAGGTGACATAGAAGGATGTGTTAGAAGCAAGTAATTTCCAAGAATAGTATCTTTATATTAAGGCCTGGCTACACACGACGCTTGCACTATGAATGGATCAAAGTTTGGATTTTTGGTGATTATTTTGAGCGACTCATTGTCTTGATTCTGAATTCTGCATTAATAATAATTCGGTGTCGAGAGGTAAATATGAAACTGTGTTATTATTCGTACAATGTAAAAAGCTTTGTGTGTTTTCATATTATGAGATGATGACTATATCAACAATGAAATATTATTTTGCCATTGAACTTCCCGTTACAATTAGGTACTAGGTAGGACTAAAACAGTTTTACACTATTTTTTTATTTCACTGTACGTCATGTCATACAAGTACAAAATGTCAAAAATATGAACTTGTTAATATGAATAAATTTTCATACCAGCGTATTTTTTTTTAAATTTTATCAATTTATTGAATACATGTAAATATAAATGTGATTGACAAAAAATGCATACTAAATCGATTGAATCAATCGTCCAATCGTCGTGTGTGGCTAGGCCTTTACAAATCAACATTTAAGGCAAACTTATCATTGATAATTGGTAATCCAAACAAAATTTATCTCATAAATGTATCTGATTACTCAGTATTATGTCATATGTCAGTTTGCATATGTGAATCGGGGGAAGTTTTATTTTTAATTCTTGATAAACATAGCTTGTATTTTTAAATGTAATTTTCACATGCTAGCCAATGCCAACGCTAGAAAAGGGCGGAGGAAAATATCTCTTCTTATTCTAGGAAAGTGTACTGACCTTTTATTTTATTTTTTACAATTCCTGCATTACAATTTGCACGAGACGGACTTGCTTTATGACCTTTGCTAGAAAGTTCCATAGTAGTCCACCATGAGTAAAGAACTAACATTTTAAACAATGACATGTATTCTTGTCACAAAAGAAATGGAGTCGAATGTGGGCGGTGTGCCTTCTGGCACAGGTGAAGGAGAATTAACATTAGTCAGATTCTGAGATCCAGTGTGAGTTTATAGTGGCTCTCGATGGTCATGTACATTGTTCCCAATGGTCAGAGACTAGAATAAAACTACATTTAATTGCATCGCATATGGAACCGTATTAATAAATCTTTCACTTTTGCCCCCCCCCCCCCCCCTTCTCCCCCACATCAATAACGTAGAGTCATCAAACCTCGACAAAAAATTTGACAGCATTTTATAAAAGTAAACATTAAGTTACTCCAATGCATTTACTTAATGTTACAACTTTGTCTTTTATAGTCTCTGTAAATGCCTATTAGAAATACGTTACATGTATGTAGTTAAACAGCAGTTTAAAGTTATTTTTCGCAACCACCAGTGGAGTAAACCAAAGTAAGAATAGAGCGATTAATATTCTTATATTTTATTAAATTACACAATTATTACACTACCAAAGTGTAAGTCCAATAGCAGTTGCTCAATATCGTCATATCCTATGTCGGATATTGCTGCCTATTCATTGATAATTATGAGCTTTCCTTAAAAGAGAGGAAGAATTGCACCTACATAATTAACTTTAAAAATAAATGCACCTTACTTTTGCTTTTTACCAGTACTTGCACAGAATTGTGAGAAATTGTGTGAGTAACTTTACGAAACGATTTAGAAATAAATTCTGCAGTAACAAACTTAAAAATACAGCCGAAGTGACAACCTCCTCTTTTTATGAAGTCGGCTAAAAGTTGCTAATAACCAACATATAATTTATCTTCTACAGGCCATGTTGATGTTCCACGCAACGTTCTATGAAGATGATGATGACCTTGTGATCACAAGAGGTGTCGATCAATTGCTTAGCTAGTTGTTTATACAAAGAACGAGCACTCGGACCCCATGACTTGACCATAAACGGTTCAAAAAATGAAATTCCCTTCAAGTTCAAGAGGCATTCTTCGGATGCAGCAGCAACACCGGCATAACCAGCTGTGCTTGGAAGATGTGATGGCGCAAGAGTGTCGACGCAAGTTGCATCCCACACCAAAGGCTTACCGATCTTCCAAGGCAGCAAAGACATACCATCTGGTCTCTTCCCATCGTCTCGAATAATAATGTCGATAACAAGAGCACGACTGATAATGTCGTTAATCTTGGTAGTAGGTAGTAAAATAAATCTTTTGAGATATTTTGGGGCCTCAGCCATTGTGTATCTTAACCGATATTAGTCAAGATCAAAGACCCTATCAAGACACTACCGCCAGCAGGACATTTGGGTAGGCCGTGGAAATAATCGAAACCACTAGAAAGTTACTAAATATAAACTAACATTACAAGCCTGCACTATACTTACACTTACATACATAAATACTATACAATTCAAGTTCAACGTAAAATAAACAAATTTAAAAGAAACGAAATAGGTACAACAATTAATTAAATGTCCAACACTTTCAAACATAACAACAATGATAGGGACGTGAATGCGGGAATGAACAGCGTCAATTCCAAGCTTTGTCATCTAAATAATCTGTAACCGTGTAGTAAGCCTTTTCACATAGTTTTTTGTTTTACTAAAAACTTAAATTTGTTAATACTGAATTTTATTGTAGAATCGCACACCTTCGAAAAGACTTGTTACTTTTTGTAGTCTAGTGGTTGGTAACACGAGTTTTTTTTTTATTTCTAGTGTTTATTTTATGAATGTCGCGAAACTGTGAATAAATGATTTTTTTTCTTGATCATCATCATCATTTTTTTTCTTAATATACTTACACTAAATTTTCATATATGCATTGAGATGCGACTGCCATGATACTAATTTCCTTAAACTTATCCCTCAGTGACAGAAATGCTGAAAGGCTAACCTCTACAATTTTGCGAACTCAAAGACCACTCAAACGAACTGGTAATGATGCTTGGAGCCAGGCTCGATCGTTTAAAGCTTTGCTCTCCCTCAGCAAAACTTTGTTGAGGGTGTTTTCAATGCTTTATTCCACTATGTTTACCTGGGCGATATCACCCGGGTGGATAAAGTAGATTTTTTTGTTTCTTCATTTCACCTTGAAAGAATTTCACCTAGGTGATATCACCCAGGTGAAATAATTTGACATAAGCGGAGGCCTTTGTTCACCTTGAAATTGATTCACCCAGGTGAACAAAGGCGACTTTTTTATTTATCTTATGTACTTTTATCACCCACATAAAGCAGGATGGTAAAAGCTTTCATATTTAAAGTCTCAAAACTAGTGTTGTCTTTTCTAGGGTACACATGACGCGGTAGCCTCATCACCCGGCCAGAACAATAAATGGTTTTAGTTGGTTTGAGTCCGCTATAGCACCTTGCCGTTTGGTCATGGTGAGATGATGGCCGTTGGTTTTGGGACACAAAAAAATACAACATAAGATGAAAGCAATACTTCAATAAAATTTATTTTTTACATGTTTAAAAAAAAAATCAAGAGTACTGTTACTGTATAACAAATACAGACTTTATTCTAAGTCAAAAAATAAAAAACTACGGAACTATTACAAGACTATATTATCATTTTCCTCTAGAACTAGCTGCTGCATTAGAGCTAGCGCTCGAACCACCGCCAAATCCAGAATTCGATCCAGCGCTCGACTTTGCATTCGACACGCTGGAACCTCCGCGAGAGATGCTGACTGATTTCGAAATACTAATAGAACCACCTGATGCTAATCTGCCAGGGCCTTGGTTGTGGCCAAAACCGGAATGTCTCGGTGATATTACGTGAAAACCAGGCCCTTGGCGCCCTGAGATGTATGGTCCAAATTGCGGTGCACCTGGAATTTAAAAAATACAGCATTTTGTCAAAGTCTCCTTAAACACGATATTAGGTAAATGATAAATGATATTTATTTCTGTAAGTAAATCTTTTCAAATATTTTTACAAGTCGGATTTTATTGTACGACTTCATATACTTTTAGTTCGAGACACTTTACTGAGTTTTAAGTTCTTCTATGTTTCTAACAAATCTTGTCAGTATAGAGAAAAAAAAACATTATCTAAGAATACAAAAGGTATTATACTCAATACTGAAACCTCAATAAAACCGATAAGTTTTAGATGCGTGTTCGAAGATAATTTCAAAGTGTCCTATGCTTCTATTATTTAATTTTACCTTCATAACTGCTTAATACACCAAACAGAAAAAGGAGCGCAAGAACACAAGTGACTGAACTGGCCATATTGAAGCTCGATTCAGGACTGATTAAAGCAAGATCCATTTTGACTTATATAACAAAGTGTTCGGTAATTCGAAATAAGTGACAAAATTAACTATTTACTTAGTCAACAATATCATGTCTTGTGTAAGCAATTAGATATAAGGTCAAGTACACAATGTTGGATACCATCATGATCATATACAATAATACAATTAGCACAGCACTTAGACAGCAATACACACTTACATGACAGTACTACACTTATTATTACACTTACAGGACGTTCAGGTGGTGGTGTTATCTGGTGTTATACTTGTAATCGTGTAGGCTATTTTATGAAAATAAAATAAAAAGACGGGTTTGTGCCGGCTTGGTGTCAAGTGTTCCTTCTCTTTGCAGTGCTGCTGTCCTTCGTAGTGTAGTCCCTTAGTCGCCTCTTATGACATCCACGTGATGAATAGGGGTGGTGACATTCCATAATTTTAATCCGTCACCACACGGATTCCGTCACCACATGGATTATAACAATAATATCTATTTCAATCCCACAAATAAATTCCAAAACATATTGAAAAGGTTTTAATGTAAGAACATAAAAGTGTTTAAATAGTTGCGTTTGAAGTCCAGGTATTTGTGGGAGTCAGGAGCCCAACCTAGGATACGTTGAAACTTATGCTAACTGAAACTTTTATTAACCAAGTATTCATGTAATCGAGTGATTAAGAATTTAAAGTCTATTGGGTCAATTACTTAGCTAAATTTTGTGCACATTGATTTATCATCTTTTTTACGCTTCTTCGATTTTTATTTGGGGCGAAAATAATTTAGAAATAATAGAATCTACCTAAGTACATAACGCATTCTGTCTGCAAATTAAGACTTCTGTTCTATTCAATTTTATTAACAACGAAGTTGCTAAGGGTTGAGTCAAATCTCATAGAAGATTTCGGGAAGAAGATGGTATTGCCTTTGTTTTTTTTTTTTTGCTCAACAACAACAAAGTTGCTTTCTTTTAAAAAATACAACTCCCGCATTAGGAAAATATCCTGTGTCGCGGGGGACTTTACAAACATACATGAAACGGACACAAAGAACACCCAGATTCAGAACAACAATTTGTTGATCACACAACTTGGTAGAGACACCCTTGGTAGCCCTAGATATAGAGTATACACTCCTGGTAATACGACGTCAAAAGATGTATTTTATTGTTTAAATAAACTCAGATTGAGACAGCTGTGCATACCAAGCCTTACATGAGTATCCGGCAGTATTCAAAATATTTATACATCACATTTACAAGACTTGGAATTTATTTGTCAATTAAATTAAACTAAAAATCACTTCATTATAAAACAATAATTGACAATGAACGCGCGTTAGGCTTATGAAAAAAAAACGTTTTTATGAATAAGCGACAATGCTTTCATTTATTTAACATTCAATTTTTAAAAAAGTATCACGGACAGTTTGATAAAATTCATAATAATGCTGACTTCATTTTAAATTTTAATAAACTGAATTCTCCGGTCTTGAAGGCTTTCTCATTTCTCATTGGAATTACTCATCACATCCACATTTGAATTCTAAGAAAATTATTTTAATCATTTTATTTTGATTTTGTTTTTTTTCTTTTTGTTTCTAGTTTTAGTTATTTTACCAAAATTGTGACTGTCTATGTAAAATGGTGTCTACTAGTGTAGCCAGAGAAATCTGAAATCAATGTAAGCTTAATGTGAATAAGAAATTATTATTGTTATTTTATTCGAATTCATTCGTCTAAACAGGAACTATACCCTTCCTAATGAAAAACTATTGGCCAAATCTGTTCACACATAACAAAATTCTTAAGTTTAAAAAAAAAATATAATTTTTTAAGAGATTACCATCAAATCTCAAATATTGAGCTGTTTGAGGATTGGATCATTGTTGTTTACCTACGCAACCCGAAAATAATTGGAAATATATATTTGTAATTATCACAGACGTTGAAATGTTTAAAATCAATATGAAATGGTTTTAAATTGTAATAAATACTTACCCAATATTCTGTGTCTTCCAGTCTTGACGACTATATTCACCAACCATAAAGATATTTCTATTCGGTGAATATAGCATGAATATAATTAGCCGAGTAAGGGTGGTGTATTGCATTGTATTGTATTGTATGTATTGTCCGTGTAGTGACGAATGTCACTACCCCAATTCATCCCGTGGGTGGCGTAAGAGCCGACAAAAGGTGCAAAACAACGCAGGACACCAGCACTGCAAAAAGAAGGAAACCTTGACACAAACCCAATACCAACCCGTCTGACCAGCGTGGTGTAGTAGGCCAAAACCTCCTTGCTAAGGAGAAGCCTTTGTCCAGCAGTGGACTATTAAAGGATTTTGATGATGATGATGATGAAAGACGTAGTGACGATGATGAAGCTCAAAGATTATAAAGATATATAAACGATAGATGATAATTAATTCAATAGTGACAGTCGCTGGTCTTTTTAAAATATTATCTGCCTGCATTGATAGATGTAGTCAAGCCAACATACTAGTTCTTCAGTATCGAAAGCAAATAAATTTTCGTGGACCTACGAGTTTTAAACCTCCAATTTTTTTGTCACGTCAAAGTAGACCCCCGTCGAGTCTCCAGTGGATCCCTGGGCGTCCACCTTGGCCACTTTGGGAACTTAGGGTTTAAGTGGAAATAAACCGCTTAAACCACAACGCCATTCGTGCAGTCGAATTATTGGTTATGTCAGAATTTTGTCATTTATTAAAATTTAATTTTGGGCCTGTTTGGGCCTGTTTGGCCCTGTTCAAATATGAAGATAAAATTTCACCCCTAAGCGTGGAATGAAGAATATGGTACCGCTTAAACCACTACGCTATCCGTGCAGTGTTAATAATTATTATTAATTATTATTATTATGTGAAATTTCAAACATTATTTATCACAAATAATTTGTCTGTCTGTCTTAGAAACTGTTTTCGATATAAAAAGTAATGTACCTAGCAGTACAGGTAGATTAAAAACGTAAACGCGTACAATACTAAAAACAATTACGAGTAATAAAATTTAAAAATAGAGTAAATTATAAGTATTTTGAAACTTGTGAGTAATGAACTTCCAATTTTTTAAAACGTTTTAATATAAAACACTTAAATTTCAACATCATTTACTTGAGTTTCTTTTACTGCGATTTCCCAAATCATTAGTCTCGCACTCATTAACCTTATTAAAATTTGAATTAGGGATATTTCTTCCCTTATGAGATTATTTTCATAGCTGCTTAAAATGGATGAAAACCTTCTAATTTTGAAATGCATTCAAAAAAAGAAGAAGGTTTTCAATCCGGCTGTATTTTTTTAAGGCAACTCCCGCACTAGGTATAAATCCCTAGTCGCGGGGGACTTTACATATATACAAGAAACGGACACAAAGAACACCCAGACTTGGAACAACAATTTGTGAATCACACAAAGTGTTGTCCCATGTGGGGATCGAAACCACAATACTCAGCGCAGTAGGAAGCGGCGAGGTAAACCGCTTAAATCACTACGCCATTCGTGCAGTCGAATTGTTGGATATGTCAGAATTTTGTCATTTATTAAAATTTAATTTTGGGTCTGTTTGGTCCTGTTTGACCCTGTTCAAATATGAAGATAAAATTTCACCCCTAAGCGTGGAATGAAGAATATGGTACCGCTTAAACCACTACGCTATCCGTGCAGTACGAATAATTATATAAATAAATAAAAGAAATACAGGAAAAGGTAAAAGAATAAAAAAAGTTAATAGCAATAAATCAATGTTCAAGTAAAGAAGGGTACCAAATTTACAATGGAACTGTTTCTAACTAAGACTATACTGCTAAAAGCGAATAGCTTTTAGTTTTGTAAAGACGAAGAAAATCTTGGAAAAAGAATGCAGCTCGAAATTTCACCTCATTTAGAGCTCTTCTATTATTCCAGACTTTTTATTCAGCTGCCTGTATTCACTTGATAATCAGATGGAATGTATAGTTCTGTTTGCTATCATCTGATTCTAAAATACACTATACATATATGCCTGGTCTTTTAACAAATTTAGCGTACTGAATATAGGTGTAATAGCAAGGATATAGGGTAAGGGATACAGCGAGACTCAGATAGGGAAGTGGGACTGAAACTGATGGACATATACGTTCTGTTATTCTGTCGTACTATGTTTAAAACATGATCAGTAGTTTTTGATGTATTTTAGTTAAGTTAAGTTAAAAGTTAACAAACAAATAAAGTAATTCACAATATCTTTGCTCATTATAGTAGTCGGATATTCTGTCGATTATATTTCTCTTCGTCGTCGAAACAACAAAACATATTTAGTCTATTTAGTCTAATTTAAATGCGCGAACGTTGGTTTGTGCAACTTGATAAATTGTGTGTGTTCGTTTTCGCGTTGGAAAAGGTATATACGTCCTGTACTTCTCTTTTGCAACAGAAAAATGATACCTTTTAATTGTTATCAAACTTGTATACTTTGCAGTTATAATTCTACTGGAAAAATTAAAGTCACTTCTAAAACAAATATAATCTATAATAAGACAACTACAATATTTAATGTAAAACACTGACTGCACGGATGGCGTAGTGGTTTAAGCGGTCGCCACGCCGCTTCCTACAACGCCGGGTGTTGTGGGTTCAAACCCCACATGGGACGACACTTTGTGTGATCCACAAATTGTTGTTCTGAGTCTGGGTGTTCTTTGTGTCCGTTTCATGTATGTTTGTAAAGTCCCCCGCGACACAGGATATATTCCTAATGCGGGAGTTGTCTTTTTAAAAAAATAGAAATAGAAAACAGCTTTTTCTTAAATATATAGAAGCTCTTCCAGCATAAAAGGAACACATTAAATCTGATGTAGTAACTAATTTTAGATAGATAGATAGATAACTCTTTATTTGGACATATTTTACAAATATTATGGTACCTGAAAATATCAGACATGTAATGTACAAAGGGCGGCCTTATTGCTAAGAGTAATCTCTTCCAGGCAACCTTAGGATGGATTAAAATGTTTTGGAGGGACAGTAGTAGTTTAAGGTGCAATGGTAAAGTTAAATAAATATTAGGTTTGGTAATTTTAGGTTAATAAAACTCAACCATTAGTTAAACCATTTATTTTCCAGCGGCACTTGACTGTGCACTCGATTGGGATGCTCCTCCACTACTGATGCTAATGGACTTCGATATACTCAAACTTCCTGTAGGCAATCCACCACCAAATCCACCTGGGTATCCACCAGGGTAACCCGGCGCATAACCCCCATAGCCCTCCTGGAATCCACGATTGTGGTGGTGGTGGTGAGAGTATCCCCGTCCACAGTCCCTACCAAATCCATTATCAAAGCCACCACCAAATCCACGGCCGCCGCCGCCACCACCGAATCCACGGCCGCCGCCACCCCCAAATCCACCGCCGCCACTACCAAATCCACCGCCGCCGCCGCCGCCACCACCACCGAATCCACCACCACTTCCGAATCCGCCGCCAAAACCTCCTTGAGGTTTAGGGTCTGGTGAAGGATTGGGTGACCGTGCTATGCGGCCTGGAATCAAAAATGTTTACAAATTATTGAAAATTTTCACTACTACAATATAATCTGAATCTCGGAAACGGCTCCAATGATTTTCATGAAATTTAGTAAGCAGGGGGTTTCGGGCGCGATTAATCGATCTAGCTAGGTTTCATTTTAAGAAAATTTAATATTTATTTTTTGTTTGTGTTCTTTTATTATCGGCGAATTGAAAGATTTCCAAAACTTTGAGCGGTCTTTATTGCCAGAAACTTCGTGACAAATTTGTGATGATTTGCTTAACAATATCAATACCATTTCAAGCATACAATTAGAAACTACAGAGATTTACTTATATATGTATATATAAAAACGAACACATGTATAGGTACTGAAACCACACATGTGAATAATATTTACTAGCTAATAGACAGCTTAAAAAAGAAAAACAAAACTGTAAAGTTTTAACTTTTACAGTTTAATGAATTAATTATAATGCATTCAAAAAGTACATAGAACATGAACAAAATATTATACCTGCATTTACACTAATCGAGCTAATTAAAACTAAAGCAAACACACAAGCGAAACGAGCCATTTCTTCCTCACATACTTCAATACTGATTTAAAAACTCTAAAAAACCTTTTATATTATCTTCGAACCGATCGACAAATTTAACACCAATCCGACAAACAGAAAAACTTTAATGGTATCAAAACCATTTATTATAAACGCCTGTATTGAAGGTTTCTTGTACTTGGTACGTATCTAAATATATTGGTTAAATATTTTTCGTAATGTTATTCATTTTGACACGTCTGTGGTTAGTGTCTATGTATAGTATTTCGAATCTGTCACTTATTAAGAAGAATGGTAAACATGGACGATGATATAATTTAATGTCAAATAACAAAAGAACCTGTTCTTCCCCGTTTACAGCCACGTGAAGTAGCTTAGTCGTAATAAGAATAACAATTTCACACATCACATACACGGAAATCAGATCCCAAACTAGGCAAAGCCTGTACTATTATAACCGGATTGCTGATAAACATACTTAAATGTTTCTTATTACATACCTAAATATGTACGAGTATTAAACATAAATTACACCCATAATCGTGTTCATAACAAAATTATTCAAGGATCAAAACCCCTATCACCGGATTAACAGCCAGGGTCACCAACCAGGCCGACAGATCATTCGATATAGTACACTACTGCAGGCATCTTCTGAGTTGCGTACTTCTTGTCTGGTAGTAACATTGAAGACCGTTTTAAATTAATAAGTATATAAGACTTCAGTGTGCCTACATCATACTTACTTCAGCCTATTGCAGTCCTCTGCTGAACGAGGGCTCACATAGAATTCCCTAATTTTAACCCTTAGGGGTTGCATCTTTTCTTCTTCAAGGGAGGCAAACGATCAGACGCGTCACCCAATGGTCAATGAGTACCGCCGCCCATGGACACTGACTACATATTTAACCAATACATTAACTGACTTAAGCCACTCATTAACTTAAGAAGCGCAAGTGCCTTGCCGCGACCTTTTGGTCCCCGTCCATGTAACTTCACTCACTCGGTAAAAAGCAACAAAAAATACTACAAATATGTGTCGAAGCACTGCTCTCCCACTATTAAGTCAAACACAAACTCAAAATATATTTATTTTATAAAAAAATTAAATGATTGAAATCGTCTTTTATGTAGACTCTAAAGTCATAGATCAACACGTACAATAGCAACAATCTCTGTTTTGTCAAATATTTTGCAAAATAAATATATACGTATCGAAAATCTAATATAATATTCCTGTGCTGATCTACAAACGCAAATTTCCAAGGGGTTGAGCCTTATGAAAAAAATGTCAAACAAACTCACGGCCACTCTTTTTAAAATTAACAGATACATCAATATTATTTCGATGTGTGTATGTCAAATTTTAAGGATAAAGGTAAAAAGACAATACAGGGAAAATAAGATTATGAAAAAGATGGAATAAAAAAGAAAGTGAGTGAATGATAAAAATAGAAAAATAAATAAAAAGCACACCAGCCACTTTTGCTTGCTTTCGAACTCTTTTAATTATGAAGAATCTGTGAACGAGTGTGTATCCCTTCAATCAAATCCAAGTAGGTGTTGAAGGGGAAGTTCTCAATGCGCGGTACATGGTATTGCCAATGCAGGTCTGATATATCCACTAGATGGCGCTAAAGTGTTTTTTTTTTCATATGGATCGACATGCATACTTTTTACTATCAGTTAAGACACTGGCAGGACATTATAATTAATGGAACAATATTTAGCTGTCACTTTAACTGTCACTGTCATAAAGATACGAGATAGATATAAGAATGATACTCAATATCGTAAAATTGTGGATCGCATATTCTTATTAAAAGTACCTTTCAATATTACTGTACTCTGTGGTACCTTTTTACAGTTAACTAGCTGTACCCTGCCACGTTTCGCCACTTTGCGGTTGCATCGATGAGAAATGAGAAGAATAACTTAAGCGAACAATAAATAAAAACAATCTGAAGCGGCTTGTATATCGTATATCGTGTCTAAAATTGAGGTCAATCGGTGCAGAACTTTTTGAGTTTCTGTAGCGTACATAAACCAACAACATTTCTATACAATACATAGACAACAATGAAGAATGAGGAAACGCGAAAACCTGGAGCGGGTAAATTCCAAAAGCACATCAGTATCTTGATGTGGAAGTCATATTTACAAAGGCAGTAAGTAAAAAAGTTTATTGACTATAATTTTCAACGAAACGTAGATAAGTAAAGAATTATCACAAAAAAATAGGCGTAGGTAGGTATATACGACTCAAACCCACGTTCCCAGCCGTATGTTCATGATCTACCGTTGTAACAGTTGAACTGAAAAAACTTCCTTCCTTCCTGAATGAATCCTGTATCATCAACAGCCTGTACTAGTCCACTGCTGGACATAGACCTCTCCTTAGAAGGGAGCTTTTGGCCTACTATACCACGCTGGCCAGACGGGTTGGTATAGGGTTTGTTTCAAGTTTTCCTTCTCTTTGCAGTCATGCAGTTGTGCTCATCCTGTATAACTTCTGTTAAGTTCGACCCTAAGAGATACCTATTACATTAGTAAACAAATCTAGTTAATAACTCATAACATATATGTGAGTTTTCACACTAAGAAATGTGTCTTAAAAAACCTTATAGTTAAAGTTAAAGTATTAAAAAAGGATAAAAAACATTATGATGAGCCTTACGAACCCATAGAGTTTCGCATCGAATTATCTGACATCTCAGCATCGAGCCTGAAGTTCTTGGAATAGGAAATATGTAAGTATCTATTATTCTAAATAAAATGGTTCACTTACAGGAGACGATGGCGACTCCTGGCAATTGAAACGGCGTTCGCAGTCATCTTATTCCTGATAGCAATATTCATAGCCAGGCCAGTGTTCCTAACGCCACTGGAAGCCGAACCAGAACAGCCATTGTCAACCAAGGACATCTTATCTTATATGCAGTCCAATACCTTGCTAGGATATGCACCAAATCGGCTACCGTATTCCTATATAATGGATCAAGCCGCCGATGTTCTGAATATACGTAAATATCTCTTTTTATGCATGTTCCAAGCTTTTATTTAACTTCCAATATTTGTGTTTATGTACGTGCGTTTATTACGAATTTTGAAAGCTAAATTCAAACCACTTACCGATTTCAAATTTAGTATACATGTGTATCTTCAGTGACAATACAACAATATAGTACCATTGAACTGTTCTGATGTTTGAGCCAAACGACGGCCTTAGGAAACTAATACTACTATTAATAAGAAAAATAAACCTATCGAGTTTGGGCTCGATTGACGCGTCTTTTAAAGGATTTCAATAAAATCTTGTTTCACATTTTTTGTCTTAAAACGTTCTAAATGAAGTAAAAAGGGTAAATTCAGATAACGTGTCACCATTCATTTCATCATCATCTACAATTTAAGTACATTTTATCAATAATGGACCGATTCGCAACGCAACGCAGATTACGCAGAGGTGATAATAATAACATCGAATTATAAAAACAGTTTACTACAAAAAGTACAAAAATAATGAAATTGCCGAAACCCGGGATTGAACCGGGGACCTTTAGATCTTCAGTCTAACGCTCTCCCAACTGAGCTATTTCGGCTACACTTATACAAACCGATTGAATGAAAACTTGAACGTTCACTATTTACCTAACAGTGGCTTTTTAACTTTATGCATGTGTTTGCATACATAAGTAACAGCCGAAATAGCTCAGTTGGGAGAGCGTTAGACTGAAGATCTAAAGGTCCCCGGTTCAATCCCGGGTTTCGGCAATGACCATTTATTTTGTACTTTCTATAATGGATACAAGGCTACACTTGTATTTCCAAAACTTTAACCAACTATATCTTACATTCGGCTTGTCTGTCGTAAAAATATGATTGACTCCCTCGGGAACAGTACCCTTGTCAGGATGATAAGTATCCTTTCGTAGTAGCTCACTAAATGCGTATAAAACATATTTTATACATTAATTTTTACATATTACACTAAGTTCTATCCGCGGCTACTTTTCAGTAAAAGTCATTTACTAGGTATCCTTCAGGAAACTTCTTATTTTTTTCTTGATAAAGAGAACCCTAAGCCCTTGTAACAGTGACAACAGATATGCAAAAAATTAAAAAATCATCGAGTAGTTAAATCGTGAAACGAAACAAACAGTCACTATCACTTTCTCATGTATAACCTTAGGGTAAGTAAATTTACAAGGTTTCGCAAGTGTTACTATCTCAAGCACAGAGAACTAAATAAGTCTATATTCAGTACTCCACGGTCGTATTATTCGGTGTGCTATTGTAGTGTAAGTCAGATAAACTAAAATTGACTTTATGGGTGTCTTCATAAAGAACATCTTACCACATCTTACGAGTATTACCGAGAGATCGCGTTCACCTCTCAGCTACTTCGATTACCTTTGATTTAATATTAGCCTGATCGTCAGACGTGTGATTTTACCTAAATACTCAGGTTATATCATCGCCATCATAAACCTTACTAATTATTTTTGTGGCTACTTACACATACAGTGCAACAAAAATATACTCCAACGCCATCTAACGAAGACACACAGGGTAACTGATAATCCTGTATCGCGATATTAAAAGCTCTCACGCGGATTAGCATACAACTCCTCATCTCGCCAGGCCGGCGGATCCTCCTTTTAGATCGAGTGACATGACATCGATGGTATATCTTCGTTTGATGGCATTAAAGTATTTCATTGTATATGGAAGTCGCTAGACTTTCCTTTATTCAGAAGTTTGTATGTTTCTTTGCAGCTTTATTGGCTGGGAATACAGAAAGCGAACTGAACGATCTCCTATATAACAAATCATTGGGCACACCGATCAATTTACCCGTTATATGGGTTATATTTAAACCAAAGGTGAGCATTGCTATTAATCATAGAACTCATATTAACTGAGTGAGCAACTTGTTTAAGTAACTCGCTTGTTTGAGATATAACCTTCCCTAGCACGTCACTGATGTACCCGATAGTCTACGATAAAGCTTCCTGCTATACGAGATTCCTCATGTTCTGTAAGGCTGCAAAGTCTTTTGAGGTTTGCCTTCTCTGTCTATCAGTCTGTTTTTTTTTTCATTGTTTTGGTGCTTACATACCGGGAACTGACACCAGACTATGAAAGTGCCGGGAACAGTGGTCGTCCTCACCTTGCAAATTCTATGTAATGTAGGATAGCTTAATAGATGAGTGGTTGCTTTATAAACGGATAGAAGGAAGCCACAGCAAAATAGTTATTCTGTAAATAGAAATTTTCCAAGGATAACAGTGTGTTAGCAGTAGTAAGTGTAGCTGAAATCTCTGATGTGCCAAGCTGTAAGTAAGAAAGTGCTTCACTGATTTGTTTGATGGATTTGGTAGTTTTAGCTACATCCAAGGCGATTCTTATTAAAACGCTTTATAGCAAAACTTAAAAAAAACAGTTGCCGAAACCCGGGATTGAACCGGGGACCTTTAGATCTTCAGTCTAACGCTCTCCCAACTGAGCTATTTCGGCTATACTCTTGTGGACAGATTAAGTCAGAACTTAAATGTTAAAGATTATGTTTGTTGAGCCCCCCTCCGGTGAGGTTATTCACACACTCGCTGAAAATAAATAAAGGAATTAATTTATTGGTTTTCACAGAAAACCAGGTGTTGGTATACCACTTAACACTAGTGTTCTGTAAGACCGTGGTACACTAACACCCGTGCATCCGTGAACAAGTGTACTAAATTTGTGAATTTTCTCCATGAATATATTATTGGCCTGAGAAAATAACTTGAGCTATACACATTGAAGATGATTCGCGGTTTACCCTTATTTATGACGAATAAATTGAATAGAACTTAAAAGTCGATGCTATACAAATTAGCCAACTGAGGGCCAAGTGCGAGTTTATCACATCAACTCGATCGTTACGGTGACAGCGTTCGGTGTTGCGATTGGCCCACACTGAAATCTTAACCAATCACAACGCCGAACGCGCTCGCTGTCGATAGCGAGTTGACGTGAATTAAACTCGTACTTGGCTCTCTGATGATGCAATAACACTTGTTTGTCATCGGGTATTTAGATGCCAGAGCCCATTATTAAACATTAGGACCATTTAACAGGAAGAACAGATTCTGTTTGAAATTGAATTGCTCGACTGGACCTGTAACAAACCCGGCTGAAGAATTTATTTCCTAGCGTTCTGTTGTTTTTTATTACTCTATGAGGTCACCTCAGCTCTACTAGAGAAGACTAGAGATTAGAGTAGAAAATATAATACTAGGATAGAAGACACCGCTCAAGGGTCATTAAAATGTGCTTTTTCAACAACACTAGAACGGACAAAGGGATACACTACACAGACACGTCAAACTTATAATACCCCTCTTTTTGCATCAGGGGCTAAAAAATGAAATAAAAAGTAATAGTTGCCGAAACCCGGGATTGAACCGGGGACCTTTAGATCTTCAGTCTAACGCTCTCCCAACTGAGCTATTTCGGCCGCGATTGTGACATTGAAATACCCGTAGTTTAAGAATAAAAAGTGCCTATTAAGTGGACAACATGTTGTTATTTATGTGATTGTTATCAAAATTGCAAGTAAAAGATTAAATTTTAACCTTTTACATTTAATATTGATTACAATAAAGTATTATCATACTTCGAGTACCAATTTGACCTATGACTGATAAATCCATACTAACATTATAAATGCGAAAGTAACTTTATCCGTCTGTTACGCTTTCACGGCTTAACCGATTTTAATGAAATTTGACATGGAGATACTTTGATTTTTGAGGAAGGACATAAGCTTTTTTTAACCGTGATAAACGACATACGGGCAGAGCCGTGGGCAAAAGCTTCACTTACATATGAAAGGAAGCCATGGCCCATATGTCCACAGCATGACTGTCCTACGCCACGATAAGGTTGCATGCAACACTTGGTCATTCATGTTTACAGAAAAGAACATAATATCCTATAGTTGGTACAGAAAAAGTTTTCTTATTGAATCTTGAATTGATGGACAGACTGGCCTGTTCTAGGCCTCAGTACTAGGATAGTGTGTCCGAGTATGATTTATCTAGAATATATATTTATTTAGGAATATATAAGTATGTGTAGCAGCAGTCTGGTTACCATAGTACAGGTTCTGCCTAGTTTGGGATCAGACCGCCACGTGTGAGATGACAAAATCTACATTAGTATGGTCAAAGTCATACTCGTAGTCAAGAGCCAGTCCATACTAATATCATAAATGCGAAAGTGTGTCTGTCTATCTGTCTGTTACCTCTTCACGCTTAAACCACTGAACCGATTTAGATGAAATTTGGTATGGAGATAGCTTGATTCTTGAGGAAGGGGGAGTAGTCCGTGCCTATGTCCTATGTCATGTGCCTATGTCCACAGATTACCCCCTATTAGGCAGGCTACTATTTAATCGAAAAACAAAGTGGAGCCACGGCAAAAAGCTAGTTTGTAATAATTCCTTCTGTTGAGTAACTTTCTTCACTGACTTCCTGAGGAGGCCCTCAGGAAGTGACGATCAAAATAAACTTATACTAGGCAGTGTAACTTTATTTCACATTAACTTGATTGTCACGGTGACCGCATTGCGTCTTCACAATCATCTTCAACAATCGCAAAGCGCCGAAGGCGAGAGCGGCATGATGTGAAATAAACGTAAACCAGGCCCTGCGATTGCCTCCTTTCTAAGATTCTGCATTGAATTCTAAAATTCTACAATTTATTCTTCAGGCAGGTAACATATGGAAGTTCAGCATTCGCAGCACAGAGCGGGCTCGTTACTCGACCAGTACTGACGACACGTCCTCATTACCCAACCCTCACCTCCACACAGGGTTCCTCGCCGTGCAAGTGGCCATCAGCCGGGCCATCGTGGACTACGTCTCTGAAGTAGTGCCGGACTTTGAGGTATTTTGTCTAGGAAATTGTTTTTAACCTTTGTTTCCAGAACTCACAAATAAATATATCTCTTATGAAAATACTTAATAAATAGGTCTTAATTCAGCTACACAAGGTGTAAGGGACATGGTACCGAATACTGAAATAGTGTATTCAGACCATGATGCTGAGTCGAAAATCATTGGAATTTTCTGCCTATTTTTTTTAATTTTCCATTTTACTGGTTAAAAATGTCGAAAAATGATACCACAATAGAGTACTAGTAGAGAGTAGACAGAACATTTTACAGAGAACAATTTAATAAATACCAAAAAAAACTGCAAAGTAATTAATCAAACACGCGCGGGGCCTCCCCTCTGACCGCCATTTTGTGTTAGTATGCGTAGACTGTTTGCACGAAATACACATGTGGTTATTACTTTTGTGCGATACCTACGGGGAATGACCTTAACCTATGACAGCTGATTGCATAAAAGTTTAATTTTCCGGCAGAAAATTCCAATGATTTTCGACTCAGAATCATAGTTTGAATACACTATTTCAGTATTCGGTACGATGTCCCTTACACCTTGTATATTTTTATTTGTTAGTTACTTCAGAATTTCGTCATTATTTGGCTTTTTTTATTTGAAAGGGTTGATTTCATTTATTCTTAAAGAAGAATACTTCATCTCTAAGGCTGGTAAGGTAAAATTTCACGATGTGGGCGCATTGAAGTCTATTTAAGAATACATAGCTGATGATAAAAAATATATCGTTAATTGTATGGTTACGGTTCCTTTATCAATCTATTCAATAACATAATGAAAATTTTAATGACAAAAAGAGAAGTTGCCGAAACCCGGGATTGAACCGGGGACCTTTAGATCTTCAGTCTAACGCTCTCCCAACTGAGCTATTTCGGCTACGATCTTCTCATTGAAATTGTCGATTATGTGAGAATTACAGCAAGATAATATGATTATCATTCAATTCAAAACCACTATTGTGATATAATAATATGATCATTGATAAAGTACTCCGGTACTCGGATTATAAGTAATTTTAAAGATATCGTGATTTATTGTACAGTGAACCATAGGCATATAATTATCCATGTTTCCGTGATGAATTTTCCCACATATTCTGTAATGGTAATCTATCTTCTATATATATAAGAGATTTCCACGTATATAGTCACTCATCACGATATCTCTGGAACCATTAGAGCTAAAGACTTGAAATTTGGTAGGAATATTCTTTTCAGCGAGTAGAGGTCAGCTAAGAACGGATTTTAAGAAATTCAAAACTAAAAAAAAAAAATTAAATAGCAAAACAACGTTTGCAGGGTCAGCCAGCTAGTACATAATAATTGTTAATGGTTCAGATGCATCAATTATAAGTCTTAAGAAATCTCATGTAACATCCAAATAATGATAAACGTTACAAGATCAACATGCCCCGAATAGACTTTTAAGAGCAAAACCTATTCCAAAAGCAAGTAATGTATGTGATAAATTGCTAAAATATATAAATCATTCCCTGATAAGATAACATCCCATGAGACAACTAATCTATACTAATATTATAAATTATTATAAATATTTGTTTGTTTGAACGCGCTGATCTCAGGAACTACTGGTTCGATTTGAAAAATTCTTTCAGTGTTAGATAGCCCATTTATCGAGGAAGGCTATAGGCTATATATCATCACGCTAAGACCAATAGGAGCGGAGCACCAATGAAGAATGTTTCAAAAACGGAGAAAATTTATTACTATTGAGAGATGCAGACGAAGTTGCGCGGGTCAGCTAGTCTCCCAATAATACGAGTATAACAACCGGTTAAGTTTCAGTATCGAATTTTTGGTTTTTTTTGTTCAAATGGGCTCATTTTTTAAACCAGGGATTCTCAAACTATTTTGGACAAGAGACTTCTTTTCCAGAATGAAATGATACCTCACACACCCATAGCCAAATTACTGTAAAGATCCTATCTCTAGTTTTTTTTTCCTATTGATACAAAATACTTACCAATTTAATAACTTTGCCGTTAGTTAAGTGGTCATCAAAAACTGGACATCATTTTCTTATCAAAATTTAACAAAATAAATATATTAGACAGTCTTATAAAAAGTTAGTACACGTAACAAAACTGATACAGTATGTTGAAAGTTTCAAATAAGAACTTGTGTTAGTTAATAGGGGGCGGATTCTCAGACCTCGTCGGCCCCCAAAATCAGTTTTAGTTTAACCTGGGAAACCGATTTCGACCCATGGGGTCGACATCGACCAACCACTTTGGGAATCCCTGATCTAAACAAACTACTTTCTTTCAGGTAAATTTAGTATCGATGCCGGTGTCTCCGCTCATGCAACAGAATCGCGTGAGGCAAGCCCTCTCCCTCATCCTCCTATGCTTCACACTGGCCTTCCTACCGGCCACGCTCGAGACTCAGGCACTAGTCGTATGGGAAACCCAGAATATGTTCAAAGTAAATATTTTGATCTGTCGTAAGAATGTTTGTCTTACAGGATTATAGTACAATGCATCTTGTACAAGTGGAAAATTGAAAAGGCTGGGACCACGGAGCAAATACAAAGAGGTGCTGTAATTAGATTTTCCTAGGAAACATCGCGTGATAATTTGCGGGGTGAGGGGTTTTAAGCTCCACCCACTTCACTGTTTTCCATGTACGAAATAGTAGCAAAACGACTCAAATCGTTCTATGTCGATATTGCTTTTTATTTTAGCTATCTCACCAAATTTAATCACATTTAAGTTACACTATGAAACAATCGCACGTATTGACTAAGCTATCATTTGCATTTACAGCGCGCTTTAAGAATGCGTAATGTGAGCTACACCTCTATGTACCTCAGTTGGCTAGTGTACGCGTACCTGACGGCGCTGCCTGTCTGCGTGCTCGGAGCCGTGACCATGATCCTCACCTTCAGGTGGATTCATCTTATGAACTCCATGCTTATACTATTTGCCTATCTCTCCGTGATGGCAATGGTGGCGCTAGTGATGGCTATGTTTCATAATAACTGTAAGTCTCTATTTAATTATTGAACTAGCGTAGAGTTTCGCTCCTAAAGGTCACGGCTTGATGTTATAAGTCTTTTACGCTAGCCTATAACGTTAGATAATCTATCTAATCACAACCAATCTGTGGAACGGGTTTTCGGCTGCGGTATTTACGGACCGATACGACCTTCAAACCTTCAAGAAAAGAGCATACTCCTTCCTAAAAGGCCAACAACGCGTTTGTAACTCCTGAGTTGTAGACGTTCATGGCCGGCGATGGTCATTTCCATCGGGTGACCCGTCTGCTCGGCTGGCTCCTCTAACATAAAAAAAATCTATCAAATCATAGTTAATCTACTTAATCTAACAAAATGATTTTTAATTCGAAAAATTAAGCCGTGTAAACAAAAAATAATCAATTGACATATTAGGATAGATTACAATGTGTGGTTGACAATAAAAACCGGTTTACGGTGCTTTATAAAATACTCATAACAGCTATGTCGATGATTATTACATAGATAAGAAATACTGCCTACTGCCCTAAGATGTCATTGCCAATCAATTCGTCCAAATTGACCTTCAGGTATTAGACCTACTTCTACTTAGGCGAAAGACGCACACTGCTGAACTTAGGCCTCCCCCAAGTTTTGCCACAACAACCGGTTTTGGGTCGCCCGCATCCAGTTGTGTCCCGTGACTTACTTATTAAAATCTCGTAGATTTTAATTTTCAGCCCGAATCTCGTGCATATGGACAACATTGTTTACGCTTTTGCAAACGTACTTGGCAGAACTTTTAGTACATCATCAGTACGATTCCCTGCACGTGACTGTAAATTTTGTTCTACATGTACTCTTACCACCACTGGGACTTATTAATGCTTTCAACGAATTTGCTCTACTATCCACAGGACGTAAGTAACGTTTGAATTTTTTTTTAAATGTATCTTAAATTAGTTTAGATTTTTTAAATACAATGAAAAAAATATTTTTTGAATCCATTTATTATTCTACTATCTATGATTTTTTAAAATGAACGTTCATCCCTTAAACTTAAAATCTCCCTAACTCCATTAATTCTAAAGGGGAAAAAGTTTTACGAAACCATTTTTCTCTAAAATTTCAAGTTCTACAATTTTTTAATTGAACTTTTTTCTAACTTTTACTGTTTGCGAATTTGTGCAAACACTTGTTTTGTTTTTTTTTTTCAACCTTTCCCAGGGGTTGGGGACACTAAAACTTTTACACTTTGTTTTTGTATCGTTAAAAAATGCAAACTTAATATCCAAAATTCGGCCTTCAGAACTTTATGGACTCCACGAAATAGTCCGCAATGACCGCCGAAGATCGCTGGGTTTCTACTCTTTTTGCTTAGATACGAGTAGATCGATCGATTCAATGTTTATCGTACTTGAGCTCAAACTGAACTGGCTCACCGGCGAAGACTTGCCTGTGTTTATATTACTCGTTAGACCAAAAGGTTCATTTTAGTAAATTCTAATCCTTATGAGAACTTTCTGTAGACGAGAAATACGAATGCGTTTAAAATGTAAACAAGATAATTGCGCGACAATCTATTTTCGATCTTATGTGTATTGTTTTAAACTCATTGTTCTATACTTCTATACCCAGCATTATTATTAGAACTATTCCTGGAATTGCGCGGTTAAATGAACTCTCTCTTTCTATCTCAGATTTTCGTAATATTTGGTGATAAAATATTAAAACATTATTTTTAAAACAGATCAGAGAAGGACAGAAAGTAGTATAGAATATATGTTGCTCTCATGGGGCTTGCTGATAATCTTCTACTTTGGTTTGCTGATGTTGTTACAACGGACCATTGGACAGCAGCGAGCCATAGGCGGTCAGGTGTCATGGAGATCAATCATCTTCAAGCAAGCAAAGGTAAAAATTGTAGTACAATTTAACTAATTTCTTTTATATTGGAGTAAAATCGTTATGCCTACTATTACTTAGGAAGGGTAAGTCCCATCACAATATTTTAAATAGTCATAATTAGTCAGTCCTCATAATTTCGTCCGCCTTTGTGGTCACTGAGCCTAAGGAGGAGCCTATTATGAACTTTTTTTGGTATTCCGCTAACAAATATAAAAAGAATAGGAACCGCCGAAATGTATATGCAGTCACAGTCATTTACATTAGTACCTATTATGTGCTGTCGCAAATTGCATTAGGTATTTAAATATTGCATTTTGGCAACACATTCACACGACGCCTTGTCGTAAATACTACACACAAGTGTTCCCACTTTCTTTGTAATTGCTGTTTTAATTCCTACCCTATAATTTCATAAGGATTATTTTTACTTGAGCAATGATTTTACTTTTAACCTAAAATGTCCTATTTCTTTCTTAGAACCAGAATGCTCTGCATCGAGTTTCGGAACCGGTGCGCAGTGAGTTCAGGAAACTGCAGGAGGTTGATGAGTTCGTTGCCAAAGCTATCAGTTTTAGAGATGTTTGTAAGGTTAATAAATCTAAATACTCGAACGTAAAAATTTAAATAAACACCTCGCAAACCAAATCCTCGAAAAAGGCAAAAACATTTCGCTATAAAATGAAGCAATGCGTGAAAGAGTGTGTTAAGTGATTAAAAGGAGAATAATAAAACTCACGTTAGACGGCTGGATCAAGTGTCTGATGCAGAAGGCAGTTCTCCTTAACATTATACGAGGTTCCTGTCGTTGCGGCCCTAACCACCAGTTTCTTGGCCCCTGTACCCGAAGTCGGTGGTCTACAATTTTTTTTTATGTATTTATTTTCTTTGTTATAAATTTAAAAATGTAACCTATACGTAGGTATATAAAAATGTAATCAAAAGAACAATAACAATATTTTCTGACATCTGACACAACGCATACATACACATTACATAGAAAACACCCAAACTCCGAAACAAATATTTCGAAATCATACAAACATTTGGTCGACTCGGGAATCGAACCTGAGGACTCAGGAAAGCAGTCGCATATGCTACTACTACACCACCGTGGCAGTCAATGATTAGAAGAATAACCTCATTACACCAACCCCAAATAAATTTACAAAAAGGGTAGGAATATGATGATGATGGGGACAAGAAAAATATTTGATTTTGTGCGTACAGCTGATAAACCATACTATATTTTGCGGCTATTTCAGGACACTATGCGCGTACCTGTGCTCCACAATTTGACTTTTGACATATACCGAGGCGAGTACACTGTAATGTTCGCTCAAAAAATTCAAGAGAAAATGATTGATACTCTGGACGATGTACTCACTGGTAAGTCGAATATCTTCGTTTGCCTGGTGAACGAAGATCTGTGAGTTAATTCACACATTCATAGTTTTTATAATTTACCATTATAGTTAGGAAAAAAAAAAATTTTGAAAGACAACTCCCGCATTCGGACTATATACTGTGTCGCGGGGACTTTACAAACATACATGAAACGGACACAAAGAACACCCAGACTCAGAACAACAATTTGAGGATTACACAAACTGAAAGAACTGGTAAATGATTATGTCGATAGTTCGACATTGTTCTATATGTTTTTGATTTTTGTCTTGCAAATCCATTAATATTTTTTTTTGCTATATCTCATAGGCTTGGCTTCTATTACTTAAATATATCGATAACCGTTCCGTTTGATAGACGCGCACACGGGTGGATTGATCGCAGTGTTGCCAACCTTGTGATCGGTTTTTTTTTAATTCTAGATAATTTTTATTGTTGACAATATCGTCTATTGTTTCCAGTTCGGTTGGGGGCCCTCTGTACCCACGGGGCCCTGGGCTGCAGCCCAAAAAGTCTTTAAGTAGATCCGCCCCTGTATTATATACATTTAAAAGTGAGTTTCATTTGTTACGCTTTCACGCCTAAACCACTAAACCGATTTAAAAACTTATTTCACTAATAAAAACTTACATTATCAGCGATTAACATAGGGCTACTTTTTACCGAGATAACATACACGCGAGCGGAGCTGCGGGCAAAAGGTAGTTATTCAAATAGTTACAGTAAAAAACAATGATAACTTAAATTAAACCGATTCTTTCATTTCTTTTCACCGAATTGGTGAGGTTAGTGGAGTCCAACCCTACCCCTTATTCTAATTCTAGTCACTTACCAGCAGATGACAGCTCAGCTCGTTTGCATTCCATGTTCGCCTATTTCATAAAAAAAATTGATTGACACATACTTGTAGGTAAACAAAAATAATTATACTAATATTTTCGAACATCTGACACAACGCCTTATGGTTTAAAACTAAGCAGAACTTGTACTATGAAAGCTAGATTGACTGATGGAATACTATTTTTTTAATATAAATACATACATATTATAGATAGAAACATATATATAGGAGAGATGTTAGTGATATCTTTCAAGTGATAGCAACTAGCAAAGGCGAACACCTAGGACATCAAGAAATGGTCAAATATCTCAATTTAACTTTTTTCTTTATAAATAAGTTATGAATATTATTCTTGGAAGTTCTGTTACTGTTTTATATCTAGGTTTAGCGTTACCAGACCGCGGAGAGATAAGAATTCTGGGTGAAGTTATGGACGAATTCACTGCGCCATTGAACACGCTGTACATGATGGGATACTGCCATCGCTCCGAGACCCTCGTAGACGACCTCACTGTAGAGGAACACTTTACTCTGTTCACAACGGTTAGTATTTTAAAAGTATAATCCCTCGTCGCAGATATGAAAACTATTTTTAGATTGCTGTTTCAAGTTTATAAGAAGAATACATGATTTAATTGACTGGCTTTTTTTTAATGGGACTAATCCCACCCACACGTCCACTGCTGTTACTCCTGTACACCAGGATCAACAGCAGTGACCCACGGACACATTGAGTTATGACACTCGGGAAGTCCCAAAAAAATTTTTATCACTCCTTAAACCCGCAACGAAATTAATCAGAAGAAAATTGGAGGAGTTGGTAATCACTGACTAATTGATTTGGCTGTTTCTCTAATGGTTAGTGACCCTGACTACCGCCAAGCTAGAGAGGACCTCTGGCTTAGCTGTTTGGTTTGATTTGGGAGTGGTTTGATTTGATTTTTGGTGTAATTGTCAAATTTAAGCAATAAAAAAGATGATTACTACGGTTTTTGTGGTAAATTATTTACCACTAGCGCTATTTCTTGCTAAAACAACATCAAGTCCAGAACAGTTTTCAGGTTTTTTCATTATTATTTTAATTATCAATAAACTGTGAAGGTTGTTCGCTATTTTAAATTAAGCATTAGTCCTTTAAAACATATTTTTTGTGCATGAAACAGTTTTTATTGATTTCTTAAAAACTCTGATTATGTGACTTATGAGGTTTTTGAAATGATGGATTCAATTATATTATGTAGTTACATACTTTTCAGATATGCCTTTGGTACGAAGATACAGCAAACGTGGTCGAATACGGTCACATCCGATACAAGCAGTTAGTGAAAGAATGCAATTTGGTGTCCGTGGCTGAAACAAGAGTCAGAGACTTGGATCACTATTACAGAGCCCAACTTTGTTGGGCCATTGCCATGCTTATAGAACCCAGGGTAGGTATACATTTATTATTGTATACTGAAATTAAATAGGTATTTATATATGTATCTTTTATATGCCACATAAATTGTCTAGTTAGAAATTCCAGGTGGCGTGTGGCACAACTTTGTACAGATCACTTAAAGAATAACGTATTCCTCCCATCTCATTTTAAATGATTTCTAGACATCATTTTGTGTACGTACGTACACACACTCACGTTGAACGCACGCACACGCACTAATATACACGTGTGTGAGTGAGTGTGCGTGCGTTCAACGTGTGTGCACAAAGGGTGTATGTCTGTATAGACAGACAGACATACCTTTTTTATACTGGGCATGGTCATAGATATAAATACAGGTTGAAACGTAAGACTAATAAAAAATACTCGAATATTACGATTGTATATAGAACAATGGTCTTTGCAAACGAAGTCCTTGACATAACATCCCTTTAGACAAGATTTTAACAATCACTGAAATTATGACTACATAAGTTTTATTCTTTGTTTTAGGTAGTACTGATTCCCAACTTGCAAGATGAACCTGTATATCGATCTGTTATTGTTGATAAAATTGTGGTAAGAAATATTTAGTCTTGTAACAATAACTGTCTTAACTTCAATGTGCCTCAAACTTGGTATATTCAGATAAGCTGTATTTTTAATCTTTTGATTTTTGATACCAAATTTAACTAGGACCAAGCTTGATTTATAACTTATTTCATCAAAAAAGAATTATTGAAATGGGTTCTCAATTGTCACATACATGAAAAAAAAAACAGTCACATTCTTAAAGTTCGTATCGTATCGTTTGTTTCAAATACCAAAATGTACTTGAAAAAGTAAAAGTTATGATTTCAAATCGTATCACATGACCAACAAAAGTAACCGGTGTGGAGATGTGCCAATATATAGATGAGTTGGCAGTCGGAATTTGGAATGAAATTAGTGCTACCGTGAAGAGTTACATAGAGGCATATTGAACGCTCATGTACCTATATACCTATTATACTGGGGCCTAACCTATTGCCATCATGAGTGCTGAATAATAAAATACTGAGTATATTGGAAGGCATTGGTTGAAGGCAATAGAAGGATATAATATTGTACCACTACAGCTCGAACTGATCCGAGTCTTATACCTACTACTGAAACAAGCTGAAGTTTTCTAATTCTAATATTTATGACTGTATCCCCACCCCTGTCTATACCTCAGTATGCCTTACCTATGTAGGTTACAAATTAGTGATTTATATATAACTGATATTTTTCCATACTTTTCAGCAATTTAGAAAGTACATGACGATAGTAAGACTTTTGTTCTCGAGCCTGGAAACTGAGTACGCAGACCGTGTCTTTATATTTGACAGTAATATATTGATCTTTGGAGGTACACCTGCTTATATGTTTTTTAGATATGGTAAGTAATATTGTCAACTATGCCTGTAACATAGTATTATGGAGCTGGTTTTACTCACGCGTGAATCCTCGACCAATTCTAGACCCAATGACGGTCGGACTTTTTCAAGGAATGAAACGTTAGCGTTAGTTGATTGCACAGATGGCGTATTGGTTTAAGCGGTAGCCACGCCGCTTCCTACTACGCCGAGTATTGTGGGTTCAAACCCCACATGGGACGACACTTTGTGTGATCCACAAATTGTTGTTCTTCTGAGTCTGGGTGTTCTTTGTGTCCGTTTCACGTATGTTTGAAAAGTCCCCCGAGACACAGGATATATTCATAATGCGGGAGTTGTCTTTAAAAAAAAAATGTTCTGCCGCGACAGTGTCAGGCGTCACCCTTTATTCTAATAAAACAGTGAATGACATATCAAGTGACGGGTATATCTTTTCTTATTTGAGAACACCAGACCATTTTACTATATATTTGTTTATACACTTTGATAACAACATAAAATAGTCGCTGAAACCTAGAATTTGTAGGTTATATTTATGCATTGCTGATTCTGCTTGAAACAAGAAGAAAGTAAAAAAGAAAACTTTAGTCTGCAACAAAAGGGGGCAAACAAACAAAAGTTGTCATTTTTTTGTAAATGACAGTACCTACTGATACTCTTCTACTGACAACGTAAGATCTATTCTCCGTGACTCCCTGATGGGGGGAAAAACTTCTACTATACACTATAACAGTTACCAACCATCAAAAAATTATAGGTTGATAGATTATTATCACAGAATTCAATAAGGGGAGGCATAGGACTCGTTAGTTATGCGAAAGGAATGAAGTAAAATTAATTATAAGCACTGATAGACCTATTAACAGGAACGAAAGAAAAAAAATATATTTCGATATGTCCGCCATTTTAAGATGGCCACACATATTACTGCTGATTTAACAAAATTTTCAGGACGTGATTACCGAGTCCGGTTGACTCTCAGATCCAGTAACCTAGACGACGATCCAGATGACTATAAGGATCTGTTGACAGAACGTGTTGAAAGGGCTGGTGGTAGTGTAAGGGCTTACCTCGGCTCACTTATCATATTGAGGGTGCCTGCCGTTCCTTCAGAGCCCTTCGCTGAACTCATCACAGATCTTACAGACAACGCAGACAAATATGGCGTGACATCATCGATTAGTATCAACGTTGCAGATTCTGAAGAAGTCGTCCGAAGGTCACAATTTTAGCATGTATACATATTGTATCATCGATAGCCCAAAGGTCTCCGATCGGATCGATCCCTTAGTGTTACGTAGAGATGTGGCTTCACTCTGCATTCTCTATCGCATATATCATGGAGAATGCTCTGAGGAATTATTCTAATACCGGCCGCAACTTTCCGCCATCGCTCCACACGGCAAAATTTTCATCGTCTCAACCTGAGTGGAACCGTGAAACCGGTGTTAAGCAACTCTTACGTTCCTCTTCACCGAGTGAATAAGGTTTCCGCAGGCCTAACCAATCTCCCTACTTATTCTACGGGGGGTGCTTTTTAGTTGCGGTATGGACGAAAGTAGTCACTTACCGTTAGGCGAGCCATCTGATCTTTTGCCCCTTTACCATAAAAAAACAGGTTGGGCTCATATTAGCGATTGATACAAATCCAAAACCTAAGAATGTTATTTAAAAGGCAGTCTCAATTGTATCAATAGCATTTATATCTCTAACAACCGCTAAACTTAGAATAAAAAGTCCCGTGCAAAGAATGATAGATACAGACTACATAATGTGTTATGTTGCAGGGCTATAACTGAAACTAGATCTATAAGCTACCAGAACACGGAGGCTCAACTCGAAGGCGCTGCTTTGGCTAAAGTAGCCTTGAAACGATATCAAGGTTGGTTGTCAAAGCAACATAACTCAATCTGCATAATCTTCTTTAAGAAGTTAGTTTTAGATACTAGTGATAGTTGATTTCTTCTGGACACTGTGTAGTTTTAGTCCATTCGAGTCCGAAATACCATTTAACCATGACTCCGTTGAAGTGATGGGAGATTTTACACACAAAAATCATCATCATGATCAACAGCATTTAATACTCTACTTAAAGGAGATTTTGGTCTAGTATACCATGCTGGCCAGACGGGCTGGTATAAGGTTTGTTTCAAGTTTTCCTTCTCTTTGCAATGCTTTTGTCCTGCGTTATTTGCTCCCTTAGTCAGCTCTTATGACATCTACGGGATGAAGAGGCGTGGTGACACTCTTCTTAATCCATCACCACACGGAAGCACAATAGAAATAGTAGTAATCGATAGTTTATATGCAAAGATGTGCAGCATAAATGCAGCCGATGAGGTACTACAGTGTAGGTTAATTATTTCAGCAATCTAAAGCTAATCTAAGCACCTCTAAGAGTTCGGACCAAAAACTGGTCTTAAATAACGATATAGTAAATTAGCTGCTCAAAATCTTGGCCACCTGCATTTCATCATCATCATCAACAGCCTTTAATAGTCCACTGCTGGACATAGGCCTCTCCTTAGAAAGGAGGTTTTGGCCTACTATACCACGCTGGCCTGACTGGTTGGTATATGGTTTTTGACAAGTTTTCCTTCTCTTTACAGTGCTGTTTTCCTGAGTAGTTTGCTCCCTGAGTCGACTCATACGACACCCACGGGATGAATAGGGGTGGTGACACTATTCTTAATCCGTTACCACACGCACCTGCATTCATGTGTTTGTATTTGACATAGTTCTGAATAGTTGCGCATGCTAGGTGCTAAGTAATATGCTTTCTTAAATATTAAAAAACGATTATGTTTAAATTTCAACTCTAGAGATATTAGTACTAAACTAATAAACTATAAACCTTTTTTTGATATACCTAATTTGTATTCTCTTTGTTGCAGAACCAAAGAAATGGACCCGTTTACAAAGCCCTTACAACTGTCACTTTAAATTTATAGCACGGAAGTTTATCACCTTCCATAAACATCATCGAGTTCTTCTGTTACTAACGGTAACCCATCATAAATCTTTCGTTACTAGACTTCACACAATTATTTAAAAACATTAAGTAATTGACGTGATAAAAACCTATGGTCAGAACTGACAGTGTATCTGTTGAATTGTCACTTGTCTCAGTTTAAAAGTATAGCGACCAAATTGCCCAAACCGTTACTTAGACTACAGATTAGATTAGATTAGATTAGATTTATTGTATCTTCTTTTTGAGTCAGAGTCCTTTTCTATCAATAGACAGTCAGGTCGTGCCTCAGATTAATAGAACTCTCTTTCAGTAACTATTTCATCATTATTTCTTTGCAGTTTCTGGCTGCAATAATGTCAGGTCTACTGCTCGGATGGTCGCTTAGTTCAGTTCTTTTTTACATAGATTTGACGAAAGGCAGTTATAAAATCCTTAAAGGGGAGGTTAGTGAACTAATTATTTGTACGTACGTAATTCATGAAGCAAAAAAACGTCCGTGTGGTAATGGACTAAGAAGAGTATCGGTAACGGAGCGTCACCACTCCTGTTTATCCCGTGGGTGTCGGCTAAGAGAGCAAACTACGCAGGACAACAGCACTGCGAAAAGAAAGAAAACTTGACACAAGCCCTACATCAACCCGTCTGACCAGCGTGGTGTAGTAGGCCAAAACCTCCTTTCTAAGGAGAGGCCAATGTTCAGCAGTGGACGAATAAAGGCTGTTGATGGAACTCAGGAGTCACAAGCGCTTTACCGGCCTTTGAGGTAGGAGAATGCTTTTTCTAGAAGGTTTGAAGATCACATCGGTCCAGAAATACCGCAGGCGATAATTTGATCCACAGTTTGGTTGTGCAGATTACAATTTTTACTAAATACTAATAGTTTTTTTTTCTATTTTCATTTAACAATTGGTTGCGTTTACAGGTTCTGACAGTAGAACATGTAAAGATGCGCACAAACCTAGTGGTGCGAGCTGATAATTCTCCGGAAACTCTATCCATCGTGGGCGCGTTAGTCACTTTTATTAACAAGTCAATTTCTATTTTAATTCTTTGACTAGTACCCATTTGATAGATAGATAGATAGACTGGTCATCACGTATAGTGTCACGTGGAAATATTAAAACATGGTGATTGTGACCTTTTTTCTGTGACGGTGTTGCCAGGAATATGTGGTGTTTCCACTAAAAACCACCCCGATACCGCAGAAAGCAATCTGCCACCAGAGGTCCCCACTGCCGTCGACGTCTTCTTCGCTCGGGATTGGGCCTCTTCCGATCCCGTTTAGCGGTCTCTTTCTGAAGCATTACATCTTCACAGGAAGAGACTACTGATGGAGATTGTGACCTATTTTTATAATTACTCAACATCAATTAGCTTTCCCGGTTGACCGCGATCCAGAATGCGAACAAACTTCCACTTGACGTCTCTCATCCCAAGTGAAATGAGTCAAGTATTCAAAATTAGTTTTTTTCTTTGTTTGTTTGTTTATTCAAAGTTAGTATTCAAATTGTCCGTGTAGTGACGGATTAAGAATACGGAATGTCACTACCCCAAATCATCCCGTGGGTGTCGGAAGAGCCGACTAAGGGCATAAAACAACGTAGGACACCAGCACTGCAAAAAGAAGGAAAACTTGACACAAACCCTTTACCAACCCGTCTGGACAGCGTGGTATAGTAGGCCAAAACCTCTTTTCTAAGGAGAGGCCTATGTCCAGCAGTGGACTAGTAAAGGCTGTTGATAATGATTCAAAATTAGTCGTCTTACGTCTTACACTCACGTTACATCGTTCTGCTTTCGTAGTGTACGTGCATGAATCGTACCAGTTGTCGATAATTTCATAAAATTAAATCAAAAAAATATAATCTAAGAAAGAAAAAAAGGAACTTTGGTCAAAAAGTTTTTAGACAATAAAAATTTTTCTCTAATAAAGCTAAAAGCTTCTCTCAAGAGCTTTAAGTTTGACTTGGGATAATCAACAACCAAGTACTCATAGAACTAACTACTTCCTTACAATTCGGTAATTAATATTTTACCTAACATTATAGATATGTTATGTCGGAGACAAAAGCAACTGAAGAAGATATTGAAAAAATATTTTACATGGCAGTACCCCACACGGAGGTAATATTTTAAGAATTTACGTGTTTGAAGAATTAATTAAAGAAGATCATAATTAAATGTAGCATAGCTTGCTATTGCTCGGAGTTTCTCTGCGTGATCAAATCAGTAATGAGGATATCCGCAGACAAACCGAGGTCACCGTCATTGCTCGGAGAATCGCAAAACTTAGGTGGCAGTGACGGGGCATGGGTAAGCTGCCCACAAGGTGATCTGACGAGCTGGTGAAGGTCGCCAGAAGCCGTTGGATGCGAGCAGCACATGACGTCTTTCGGCTGAGATGATGATGATGTACTGCCATGTGACGTGTTAGCAGTATATCGTGTTACAGTTTACTGCTTTTATAGAAAGTAAATTATAATTTAAATGTAGTACTACTTAATGTACTACTTAAGCATTATTCTAATAATGACCAAATAGGGATTAATTGGAACTGATATCCAAATAAATTGATCAGCAAAATACAATTTTAGAAAGAATATAGATTGTGTACCTACTCATGTTTCAGAGTCTCAAAGAATATTTGGTAACTCGGGCAATAGACTCTCCACAAACCTATGTATATGTATATGCCTACGGAATGGATGTTGCGAAGAATGAAAACGAAACAATTTTGGTAAGAACCTCTAAGATGCTAAACAAGCTAGCTGGGAGTCGTCTTCATGAGTCTTCTTAATTTTTGAACAATACTGACACTGACAGGTTTCGAAGACATTCACATAGGTGTTTCTAAGTATTTAACATTGAAAAAGTCAGATAACTGTTTTCATCCAATGAAGGCTACTTGAATTTTATGAAACTTTAGGTACTGGAATGTGCTTATTAATTGGTCAAAACAAATAGCGCGAGCTTTCCGAGCTTCCTGTTACACATTTACAACTCTCTTCACAGAATCGCTCTCTCAAAAAAAGTTATGATCTCAGAGAAAGATGTAATACACGTATATCAATAAGAAAAGGAATAAAATCTAGTCCTAAAAAGTAAACGTCCTTAGTGTTCATGGACACAAGTTTCACATTAATATATAATTTCTAGATCTCAGCACTGTACAGTCCATTGCACCCTGACAAGGGAGCGGCGGCAAGATCACTGGCACGTGTCTACATGGCTCTTATCCGACATTACACTGGAGAGCTAGATGCTACTATACAGGTTGAAGACGATCCGCTCGCACTTGATCTCTCACCGGTTAGTATTGGAACTGGAACTTAACTAACATTCTTTTTTTGGTGATGGGTGAAAAATCTCTTCGAGTCTCCGCTCCTTGGAAATACAGGAGCCAGAAGAATACGGTGTTTCCACTGGGTGGGGAAGCCGCAAGCTTACCCCGCAAGTTTCTTCAGGAGATCAGGCCGCTACCCTATTGCATACCACAGCCCCTAATCTGCCATCATCTTCTACGCTGATATCGGCTCTCTCCCGATCCCATTGAGCAGTCTCTTTCACCAAAAGAGACCGCTTCATCTATTTATAGAATCTATTAAGTACCTACAAAAAACTATAGAAAATTTGCATGCAATTAGACTTGACTTTGCAACTTTGACTGGCCTGTTGGTCTAGTGGTTAGTGACCCTGACTGCTACGCCAGAGGTCGTGGGTTCGATTCCCAGAACAAATAATTGTGTGATGAGCACGGTCATTTGTTCTGTGTCTGGGTGAACTTTATCTATAATATCTATGTATTTAGAAATATATAAGTATGTTTATCAGCAGTCTGGTTACCATAGTACAGGCTTTGCCTAGTTTGGGATCAGACCGCCGTGTGTGAGATGTGTGTGAAAAAATATTATATTATTATAAAATTTTTAGCCACAGATGCAAGGAGGGATATCAACTTGTCATTCTAAACGCTTTTAATAGAAATTATCGCTACGTTCCAATACATAACAAGATATAGAAAAGAAATAATATTTACCGACATAATAAATTTCAGTTTCAAACAATAACATAAAATAAAAACACATATTTCAGAACCATAATTCCTATTTCAGTGGATGAAAGACTTAGCTCAGCCGCCTCTGTTTCTGCAGTTTCTTCTGATTCTTACAATTTCACACATTACGCTTCTGCCTTCGAAAGAATATGGTCTCATAAGGCATATTCAGGTAAAATGGTCATTCAAACTTCATTGAAATAACGACAACTGTACCAGTATGAGAAAGTCTAACCAACCAACTTGAGAATAACTTTGAACTGTAATCGTTATAGACGAGACAAAGGAAGATTGCTAACTAAGGTTAGAAACAGCAGAGTCGGCCATATCGCCATCCAGAAGGCCAATTCTCGTAATAAAAGTTCGGTCACAATTCAGTTCCGATCAACTCTCGATCTGGATCGAACGACATAAAAGATATATTCTTAGTAAAATAGTAAACTACTACGACTAGCAGATTACCGATTCCATTTTTTTAATTACGAGAATTGGCCTTCTACCTAAAGGTTCCTCATTCACATTCTTTTTAACTATATTGCCTTGGTTTAAAAAAAAAGGTAAACAATTTTTTTTATCACGAATGCCTATTAAGTACACATATTTCAATAATTTATAATGATTTTTTTTTTAATGATATTATATTATTTTTGTACCGGATCAACAAGCTGAAGTAGCAGCGGGCTGGCCGTATTAACCGCAGAACCGTTGTAGAAAACAAGTTCTTGAGTGGAGACCGCGTCTCGGCAAACGTAGTGTAGGACGCCCACATGCCAGGTGGAGTGACGTTTTGCGCAAGATGGCTGGCAGGAGCTGGATGCAAGAAGCCCAAAATCGATCTAACTGGCGTGCAATGGGAGAGGCCTATGTCCAGCATTGGACTGCGATAGGCTGATGATGATGATGATGATGATGATAATGAGATCTGCAGAAGAGGTTCATAGTTACTGAACACTGTATAACGTATGATTCTTGTAAATATTTACGTACATTTCACAAAATAATATCACTTACAGAAGCACGCCATGAACTTTTCACCGTTACTTTATTGGGGCACCCTGTACTTGTGTGACATCTTGTTCTTCTGGTTGCTCGTCGCCATCATGAGTATCATGACGGTCAGCATTATATACCTCACTGCACCGCCTTCAGTTTTGCAGATTCAAGATATGTGTGAGTATCATCATTGAAGGTACCTTACAAATCCCTGGTAGACACAGTCAATTAATTCTGTAGTATTACAGAATTAATTATAAATTGCTTTAGGTATAATAAATTTTATTGAGTGGTCTTAGTGATTACCAGTTAGTAAGTTGTCGTTAATTTTAGTATTTCTTTTTAAAGGATAAGAACTAGATAAAAATAATAACTTGGCACAGCTGACGCAGGGTCGACTGACCCCAAACTAGGCAAAGTCTGTACTATTGTAACCGCACTGCTGATAACACCCAGACAAAGAACAAATGATCATGCTCATCACACAATTATTTGTCCTGGGTGGGAATCGAACTCACGACCTCTGACTTAGCAGTTAATGTCACTAACCGCTGGACCAACAGGCTAGTTAGAGCAAAATAATCATTAAACCCTTTTCAATTATTTGAGAGCGTGGAAAATATTTTAGGTTGACGTTTGTAGTTCAACGTTAAGAAGTTACAGGTTACATTTATGTACTATCTGCCTTCGATTTTAAATGAAAGAGACAATGACTTTTTTGGATTCTATCCTGTTAAAGCGTCTTCGTACTCATGAACGCCTGTAATAAAACTACGAGCAAATCAACTTGCTCAACGACACTTCTTACTTTTTTGCCCCCTCATTGTATAACAAAATAAATAAAATTTTGAACATTTATCCCACTACTATACGAGAATGTAAATCGCGAGTTGCTGAATGGCTGCTTGGTTTAACTTACGAAGACACCGAAGACTTAGTCGCATTTATTATATAATGCAACACACACACTCACATGCACTCCCACACGCAGGCACGCTCACACAGACACACTCACACTCTCTCTCTCTCTCTCTCTCTAATCTGTCGTCAGTTTTAAATAAAGAATTTATTTATTTAATTTACATTACCACCGATTGATTCCCTTGTGTGTATTGTCAACTTACCACCACATATACTAGCTTTAGTGCAAATATTAACATTAAGCTTCTATTTTTATAAAAAATATCTGGATTCCTCTCGACCTATAACGATCCTCTAATGGTCGGTATTTTTAAATAGATAATCTGGCAATAGATATTGGCGCTGGACATTTTCAGAACATTCCAATATTAATGTAAAAAAATGTTACACTGACGCGTTTCATACGTTTTGAATATTATTTCTAATAAATATTTAATTATATTTCAGTGGCTCTTCCTTTCATGTTAACTCTGTACGGAGTGGGATGTATACCACAGGCTTATATATTCAGCCTGGGCCCCAGGCTCACTCTCAACTTCATGACTTTTGTTATCGTGAATATGGTATTTGGTAAGATACTTTAAATGACTAACTAACTTTGATTGAGTTTTTTAACAAACTGCGAAAGAAGGAGGGTTCTGTTTTCCGAATGCATGTAATGTGTGCATTTCATTTCATATCATTATTTATTCATTGGCACGCTCAGTACTAAACGGCTTGATGGGTTTTGAATTGGGAGGTGTCATAAGATTCGTCTTAGTGTACGACTAACATTGTTTGTGACAGCGCCATTTAAGCGCCATCTTAATGTCTTTGATAAAAAAACAATTTTAATTAATTTTAATAGCATTTATCTTTGTCTATGTAAAATAGCAGTGACCAAGTCATACAATTTCATCATATGATTATGATATAAAAGTAGCAATAATTTCCATGTCTCGTGTCAGGTATGTATCACTGATACAATAATTGTGATGTTTTTTCGGCAACAGGTGAAACAACAATATTAGCGAAACTCCTCTACGGTGATATGCTTTCCTATGCCCTGAACATCATGAATCTGTCACCACAGTTCAACATGGCGTACGCCTACGTCAAGATCAAACAGATTTTCCTGTACAACAGCGAATGTGTTATATTCAAGATCCAGAATCTATGCTCGTCGAACGATTTTCATAAATGTTGCAGTACGTACCCAATTTTATTTACTACTACAACAATCTTTTCACACACTACAATTTTAGGCGCATTTTCAGTAGATATCTTATTAAATACGGTACAGTATGAAGATTGTCATACTGAAGGCCGAAATTCCGTTGAAAACACAACACAGTAACCCTTAGGTTACTGTGTTGTGTTTAAATAAATATATGTATATGTGTAATAAAAATATGTGTTTAAATAGTAAATTTATCAGATCTGTGCTAACACCAATACAGCATTACACCAATATAGCATTTCTTCATAAAACAAATTCTAATAAGTACATTTTCTAACGGTGGGAGAGCCATACTGTCAGAAATGGAATGGCTCGACCAGAGTGATACAACGGCCTGACAGAAATCTGTGTAAAGTAATTTTATCGTTGCTTTTACGGTAGTTACTAAAAATCAAGTGACCTGCCATTTTTGCCTATTATACCTTAATTATGATTATATTTCATAATTTTTTTTCATACACCTTACTTATAAACGTCCGTTCTGTAAAACAATTAATATCGGATAAAATTTGGTGAATTTGTTGTATATTCGTGAGTGGACTTATTTGTGATCGTAAGCCAATTGAATCGCAAATCTAATAAATAACATAATTCATTATGTGGAATACCCGAACCAAGTAGCAGCTATAGGACAGGACCCAGACTTATATAATATAATACTTATATATACATTTATAAACCAATTTACCTTTTGAAATATCCAATTTCAGATAAATGCGGCGTACTCCAAGAATGCTTTACGAGAAGGACGTATTTAAGTAAAAGCTATGGAATTGTTATTGAAACGATGGCGTTGTTAGCCACAGCCGTTATCTTCGGGTCGCTCTTACTGCTGATTGAATACAGAATCTTCGTTATGGTGTGGAAATTTATTTCTAGAAAGTTGTACTATCCAGAAGTAATGAAAGAAAAATTGAACGCTGGAGTTCTTATAGAGATATCAAATGTTATCGATAAGAAGAAATCAATTGTTACTCGCAGACGAAAGTCGAGTCAGTTCTTGTTGTTTTCATGTGTATGGTTTACTTCAAACTTGCGAACTACGACAGTTGATTATGACGCAAAAAATATAATTATATGTAAAACGTCTTACTGCCAACACTAAATTTTCTACAAATCTATCGCTATTATTCAAAGAAATCTAAAACCATTTTACCGTTACAGTAAAAGAATGATAAATCCAATACACCCACAACCATGCTGTTTTTGGAAATCAAGGATATTTAAAAATAATAGTTTTATTCTATTTACTATAATTAAGTATATAAATGACTCCGCCCGCATGTATGTCGGTAATCGCGATAAATAGCATGTCCTTCCTCAAGAATCAATCTATCTCCATACCATTCATCTAAATCGGCGTTATTGATTCCCCATACAAACTTCCACCTTCTTTTTCACCCCCTTGGAGGATGAGTCCTCGATATCCTTCGATAAAAACTATCCTATGTCCTTTCTCGGGACTCAAACTATCAATATACCAAATTACATATTCGCATTTATAATATTAGCATGGATGTGAGAGGGCCTAAACATGGCATGGCCACAACCAGTTTGGGTTACAGATAAGCAACCCTGACTTGCGATGCAAGCAATATTCTTTTTAATCTCCCAGTTTTCCTAACTTTAATTTTATAAATACCCGATTAACTTCAGAAGATTTACCACAACGGGACAAGTTTTCATAATGTGGGTCTTATGTTTATAACTTTACCTAGCCGTTTGTAAATACAGTTTTCTATGATAATTAAAAAAAAAAAGAAAAAGCGTAATTTTCAAATAGTCTTTTTTAAAACATTGACACACTTTCAGGTTTGATAAAAGTAGACACTTTTGGTGAATACATATGTGCGGAGAATTTATCACGAAGAGACACTGGGCTCTACGTTGTACGTAGCGCATACTTAGGACTAGGCAGGGGAGGTGCCCAAGCTATTTCGGGACTGAAACGCCACGGTCGTCTCGATCTCCTCGAAATTCTATCTGGTTATAGAATACCATGCGTAGGGAACGTATGGGCCATGTCTAAATGGAACCTAGCGACGAACCCTCATAAGGTATTTTATCAATGTATCAAAACGTTTTAAATGTATGTCTGCATGTTCTTAATTCAGTGAATAAAGTAAATTTTGGTTCTATCCCCAAATGGGACAACACTGTTTGATCCAGAAATTATTGTTCTGTGTCTGGGTGTTTCATGTATGTTTGTAAAGTCCCCCGCGACAGGATACATTCCTAGTACTTGAGTTGATTTTTTATAAAGGTAGGACAAGAAAACTAATAGTACTTACTTAGAACTTCGACAAATTTTATCGACTTACGAAATTCTAAACATAAATAATTAAAATTTTGTTTAAAATTCTCTCTCTCTCTTCTGAAACTATCAAAAAACCTATCAATTGTATGTTTTACCACGGATATTACTCCACGGGCGTGGTGCATTTCTATTTTTTCCTAGACGAATTGCCCATATTTTTACCACCAGGGTTGATACGGGGACAGATAGATTTTCCCCGTATCCTTATTCTGTTGGAGATTAAATTCGAAGCTTTTGAAGACAGCGGTTGTATTCAGCATACTTCCTGTATAATCTCTGTCAATTTGCATTTAAATAGAAGTGCATTTTTTATTCATATAAATATTTAATACTGTTCATAGTGTTGGCAACATTGTGTCTGCACTGCCATCTTGACGGGCTGAAAAAGTACGGTGCGCGGGAAGATCGCTGTTTTCAAAACTATATATATTTTTAAGAAGTCTGAAGTCCGGCTTGAAGATTTGAATTATTGATATAATATTACTTATTTAACTACTTAAAATTGTAGAAAAATATTGTAACGTGATTACATCTTAAGTTTGATTTGATTCGTAACGTCTACAATTGTTTTTACACAACCGATAAAAAGTAGGTTATGTATTATAAATATTCACAACTTTATTTTTTGTTTGTACAGTACAGCCGCCAAGTGTCAATAAGCTGTGAGAACCCTTCGTTGCCACCATGGATGACGATGCAGGAATCCCTGGAGTTGATTGCCGCGTTGCGTGGAGTGCCCGAACGACATATAAAAGAAGAGGTCCGCAATTTGGTTGAAGCACTAGGTACAAACAAATTTGTCTAAAATTTCAAACATTAGGGTAAACCCATTTTTTTGTGTGTGATAAGACTGTTAACTACTAGACAGTATTCCAAGTGTAAACTCAGGAAAGTGAAAATAGTCTCCATATCTAATTGTGAACCAAACAAACAACTTTTAAAACTGCAAGTTAACTGTAAACAGACGAACGGCGTTAAAATTCCAAACAGTCGTGTCTTTAGACTTACAATGTGGAGTAACGGATGTCATGTTCCTCCCACACAAAGGGAAGTCCTCCAACCAAGCGAACAGGCGAGTTGATCATGCCTGGCAGGTCGCGACCCAACGGTTGATGTTGGGAAGTTGTATATATGCTTATCGAGGTGCCGCGGCATGATATTATAAATCAAGTAATGTGATATTTAATCTCATTGAAATAAGGATAAAAAGAACTTGATCGGAAATAAAATACATAAGTATTCCACCGGACAACCAGTGGGGCGTATCAGAAAAAGGGCGGATTCTTTGGCATTACTCGCGGGCGCTGAAATAGCTAGCGGTGGACCTGACATCCAGTATTTTAAATATTTAATGTACGAACCTAATATATACGGCCACTAATACATACGTCCATACAAAGAATAATAATTACAGTTTTTTTAATAAAATGCACGGTCTGAATGTTTACATAATACCTATTACAAAAAAAATGAAATGATTTTCTGTCTTTTGTTTCGACTAGTCTCCAGAACGCATGGAATGATTTCGATTTCACATTCTGTAAGATATCCTAACTAAATAAGCATTTTTTTTCCTTTACACAGAATTAACCGGATATTCTCAGAAGCTTATAGCCGACTTTAGTGAAAATGATCTAACTCGTGTACACTTTGTGGCCGCCGTGATAGGAGCGCCCCCTGTGATCATAGTAGATGAAGTAACCGCCTGGCAGAAATTCTCTGTCAGGCGGTCCATTTACAAAATAATGTATATCCTCAGGAAACAAGGTCATGCTATTATATGCGCCTCTAGCAAGTAAGTTGTCACGGATGTTATCCTTTTATTATAACTTCTATCACTCGATGAACCCTGCTCCCACACAATGAATCCATGGAACACTAAGAAATAGGTTTTTGTAGCTATATGAAGACTAGTTATGTGAGCCGGGTCGTCAATTTAAATTGTTCTTGTTAGGAATTTAAATGTAATGAAAGAGCTTTAAGAGCGAAGGAAGGACGGTACGGAACAAACGATGAAACAATTGTAGTTACAAGGTAAATGTGAGAGAGTGAGTGAGTAAAAAAATCAGAACTAAGTTCCTGAGATGCGACATTTCGACTTTGTGTCGATATGTAGTTAAACTTACAGTTGCTTACTACAACATTATGCTATTTTATAGTATTGAAAACCACATGCCTGTGACGAGCCGCCGGTTTGCATTCATGATAGATGGATCCATATATGACATAGATACAATAGAAAGCCTGATCGAGCGCTACAGCCCGCAGGGTTTTACCGTCGTGTTACACCTCAAAAATGAGGTCGATGTCGTGGCAATGTTCTCAAAGTACTTCAACAGCTTTAAGATCAATGATTACTCTGAGGTACATGGTCTTTTTTTACTGATATATTAAAAAATAACTAGTAATTTCCTATCCTTCATTATTTATTTGTGAACTTCAAGTTACACTCGAACGTCTTGAACTATCAAAACTTAGTTTTTTTTTCAGAAAGGATATGGTTTGTTGTACATACCCCTTGTTGTCTTGCACTCCTAATAGAAAACTTGTATTGTAAACTTATGTTTAATCATGCTTCGTCTCTACAATGTTTGGATGTTTATAGTCCCGCCCATATTAGTTTGAGAAAATATCTCAGAAATAGGTATACCTTCACCGGTTCGTAAATGTTAGCAAAGTCTAATTAATTTTGTTAGATTATATGTATATTGATAAGGGCATCTGAATTGCTTAGCAAAACCAGTAAAAACTGTTAATTAATACTGTTTTAATTCACTTTTTTATCACCGACTCGCTAGGACATAGCGACACAGCTCGATTTTCGCCAATGTGCTGGAAATGGCCCGGGTTTCAGGGCTTTCCTTCCTAGAGTAGGGGTTTGGTTCCCCGGCTTTTAGTCGTTAGAGTCCTACATAACCACCCTTGGGTAGTATCCGAGGGGTTTTATGCACATAAAAAAAGAGGTGGAGGTAGTATTACACGAAGCGTTCAAAAAATATCGGTTGTCTACGTTCCCTTCAGTAGATAATACTCTGAAGTTTGCAAGTAGAAAAAGATAAACATACATAACGTCGGTTACTCCTTGCTTGTTTTAAATTAGGTTTTTTTATAAATTTGCCTTGTTTTTACGATTATTATATATAGTGGAGAACTGTAGAAAACAAGTGCCTACTACGTAAAATTCATCACCGTACCTATAGTAGTATAGCACATTTTGAATTTTTATAAACATTAAACAATAAAAGCGTTCAAGGTTGGTACCTATATCAGGTTCCCCTACTATTAATAGGAATATCGATAGATTTCCCTGTTTCGTTCTACAAAAAAAATCTCAATTAAAAATAACTACGTAAAACAAATATTTCTTTCAGTTTCTGGTAAACGTTCAAGTGTACGATCCAGATCTTAATTGGAAAACGATTTTTACAAGAATGGAAACCTTGCTAATAGAACATGGCCAGGTATACTCATACATCGCCACAGTGACATCTATCGATTACATTTTTAATTTCATCCTGAGCAAAGAAAAGGGCCTCAAGCCAGCCACCGGGTTTGCTTCTTTTAAATGGTTCCAGAAGATTATATCCAGCAAACCCAAAGCCAAGCCTTCTGAAGATGACCTCAAAAGGCTTAAGTCTTTTGAGATAAAATATGCTATTACTGAGCTGAAACATTTGCCTTGGTCTGTTATATTCCAAAGTAATGTTCACAACGATCACTAAAGGCCAATTATAAATATCTACCTATAGTATAAGGTACTTGTCTATTCACATTAAAATAATGTTCACTATGCCCCGATGCAGCTGACAGTTCTATTAGTTCAGTCCACCACTAGTGATTGCTATTCTTTAGGGTTATTATTATCTTTGACTTAAAGGGCTCAATGGTCAAAAGCCTCAACAATCGGTTTAAGAATGCCCAAAGTTAGGCTACTCAATAGTCGTAGAATCTAAACGCTTATAAGTTTCGGTCATACAAATGTACTTATATCATATTTTACATTTGATCAGATAGCTCTGTACGACGGGCCATTGTTCAAAGTAGTTATTTTTGCCTAAGTGATATTTATTTTCTGTCTATTGTCTGAATAAGAAACCTATTTTAATTGTTATCCAAGTTACTCTACTTCTAATATTCTAGGTAGTTATGATAATTAAAACTAATTTATGGCACTAACCTTGATGTTTTCTTTTTTTAAATTGTACATAAGGTATTTTAGTCTATACCCTCAATCAGTAGTCCAAGGAGAAACAAAAAGTTTTACATTAATTTTCCGTCTTATAAACTGAACTACAAATGGTTAACCTTCTTAAGAAGGTGTAGAAATAAAACATTGTGACAAATCTGGTGTGGTCTGCAATGAGTAGAGATTTGAGCTGCTCCGGGGCGGGCCCACCTTAAACTTTGTAAATTTAATCAGCAAGTTTGAGACATGCGACCACTCTGACGGAAGCCATCCCAAATTCATCATCATCTCAGCCGAAAGACGTCCACTGCTGTACATGCCTCCCCTGAGGTTTTTGACAACAACCGACCCTGTGCTGTCCGCATCCAACGGCCGCGGGCCTCACCAGATCGGCTACCCAGCTGCGTTTGCTAGTACGCGGTCGCCAGTCGAAAACTTTGTGGCCCCATCGGCCATCGTTTCATTTCCCAAATTATGTGCAAGTTATAAATCTAAGCACTATGTACAAAAGCAAAAACAAATATTAGTGCTGAACAGTGTATATACGGTGTATAGACATATACGAGTAGGTACCTATTAATATCTGACTCATTAAATATCCAGTTCAATAAAAACAGTAAGAATATCTATCTATCTATCTATGTAAATCCATAAAACAGTATATAATGCAAAGAAAAATAAATTGTTAGAAGTTTTTTCTAGGAATTTATTTTTAGCTTCTTTTAATTTTTCTTCATTGGAACTAAACGCCGGACAAATCAGTTGGACCAGTACCCCGAAACGATCCTGTAGTCAAATTATTTTGAAAGGTAAATCTTGGGTTGTGGTTTAGGTAACAAATCGATAAGGAAAATAATTAGACTTGCAACGAATATTCGGTATTCGGCCTATTCGGCTGCTTTTATTATATTCGGCCGAATACCGAATATCTACATATTATTCGGCCGAATACCGAATACTTAAATAATATATTTTGTCATAGAGAAATAATTGGTAAAGTGAAAAATTAAAATCGATTGATTACGTATATTTTCATTTTTGTTATAATCATTTAAGTAGTCATTGGTGAATAACACAGGTACATAATCATCTTCTGAATTGGAAAAATGGAGGATTCTATGTATTTGAATTATTGTGGTAATCAAAATTTAGAAGGGTAAGGTTCTCATTTCTTTTATAATCATTTATTAAGTAGTCATTGGTACATAAAACAGGTACATAATTTAAGAATTTTTCTATGCATTTGAATTATTTTCATAATCAAAATTTAGAAGGGGAAGGTTATGGTGCAGAAAGAGTAACTTTTCTGCATTTTTAGGAAGTACATAGTTTACTTCTTTTTTTCTCGTAGACCATCCCAACTTCAGAGAAAAGGCGCTCTGAATAAACACTACTTCCTGGCGCCGACAAATATTTTGCTGCAATCTTAATCAAACACCGAAATTCAAATTTCCTTGCTTGCCACCATGTATACGGGTTGTCATGACGTGATATATTACTAATATTTAAGAAAAGATCCATTTCTGTTGAAACTGCATTTTTTTCTGTTGATGTGTTTCCAGAAGCTGTGCTTCTTTCTGCTATCGGCTCTTCGAATCAATCCATAAAAGTTGAGTGAATAGTCTGATTTAGACTTTGCTCTTCAGTTCTCATCCTCTTGGCCAAAGTAGGGGACGAACTCGCGCTATCGTCGCTTGTTTCTTCACAGCTCATTTTTATGCTATCGATTAATACATACTGCTTCACTTTTTCTTTTTGCAGTTGATTGGTGAAAACATTCATTTTAAATCTTGGATCGAAAAAGGTAGCAAACAAATTATTTTTACTCGTTGTAATGTCTTCAAATCGTTCTTGTAACCCTTGTTATATGACGAGTATTGCCTGGCTTAATTTGGGTGTTAGCTCTTTTGACGTGCTCATTTTATTGTAATAACGCATTAAGGTAGCAAAATACGGAATAATTTCAGAAATGCAAGCGTAGCCGGAACTTATAAGTTTTGTTATCTCCTCAAATGGTTGCAATAATTTTAAAAGATGCTCCAAAAGCTCCCATTGTGCAGCAGTCAAATTGGCAATATGACAGTCCGTCAGATAGACAGAAATGGCTCGTTTTGTTGCATTAGCCTTTCGAGCATATAATATGTAGAGTTACAACGCGTGCTAACATCTTGGACTAATTCATGTTGAGGGAGACCCAAATCTTTTTGGACAGAATGCAGTTTTTCTTGTGCAGTACCAGAATGATTAAAATGAGTTACGATTTTTCTACCTGTAGCTATCATTTGAGTCACATCTAACTGAACCTTTAGAAAATCATTGACAATCAATTGAATAGTATGAATGAAACAACGTGCGGAGGCCAACTCTGCATCACTAACAGCTTTTACTATGTTTCGTCCATTATCATGAATAACAAAATGAATTTTTTCACGGATGGCCCACAAATTTGCAATTTCTTGTAAACTCATAGCTATATTCGTTGCTGTGTTGTCCCTCAAAATGCTTGATGCTCAATACTACATGTTTGAGATTAAATTGGCGGTCAATAAAATGTGCAGTAAAACTTAAAAAACTGTTATGATTATGCAAGCACGTCCACATGTCGGTCGTTACGGAAATATAATCTGTCTCTGAAAGTAAACTTAATTTTCTCAACCACTACGATAAATTTCTGGAACCACATTGTCTGAAAAGTAAGGACGACTTGGTATATTGTACCGAGCACAATAAACTGTACTTAACGTAATACGATATCCACGAAATGAACTTGTCGAAACATGCAGTGCGTTAGCAATATACCGCGCAGAGCAACAGCGGGCGCGCGGGCGATATGAGTACATTAGAACAAAACAAAGGAGCGCGAAACAATCACGTTTGTACAAGTTTTTGGCGCTAAAATCCAGCCGAATACTTTTGCCTAATATTCGGCTATTCGGTCTGGGGCCCCGCCGAATATTCGGTATACTGCCGAATATACTATTCGTTGCAAGTCTAAAAATAATCGATTCAGATAAAGTAATGACTTTACAGTGAAAACATTGTTAATCGATTTAAAGGAGTTATACTTGTGTTTATTCGTTGTCTGAATTATGTGCTGTGTTAAAAAGTTATAATTAATATATTGAAATTGAACCTACGAAAACAAACGCAAACCAAATTAAATATTATTATTATTATTAATTTTATATATTTTTTCTGGTTACCGCGGGATTCATTCGGAGATTTGGCATGGGGCATAGCCCGGATCAGCAGGAGTGATACCACGGCCTCACAGAAAATCGGTTTTCACCTAATAAGTTAGTAATAACCTTATTAGGTGAAAACCGATGAATTAGGTGAACCGTAGCTGTTGATTCCTTATTTCTATTTATCTGGTGCTTAAACATTATCATTATTGTTTTTTTAGATAACAATAACTTGAAAATCTTCATCAACTGCTATATTCTTTAATGTTATTTTCGTTTTCATTATGTAATTTTTTTATTTTATTTTGTAAGCTTATAGTTTTTGTACCTAATATGGAAGTGCTTGTTACTACTTTAGTTTGCATGCTGTACTCTCCTGTAATTGAGGGAGTACATGGCATTATGGTCATTATACCTATACTGTGATATTGTGATATATAACCGATGGTGAACCCCCCCCCCCCCTCCTCCTAACTCTGGTGGGGTCTAGAGTGGCACTCCTTGGACGACGGTAGTCACAATCAGATGACCCATTTGCTCGTTTACCCTCTATAGATAATATACTTTTTGTTTTTAATACTTGCAATGTTGTGCGTCAAATTAAAACCTTTTTTTCAAATTACCTACATTTAAAATAAAAGCAGTTTCAATAATTTGTCAAGTGCCTTATTATAGTATACAGCTATGATAATTATGAATACCAATAAGCTACTGTAATGTATCGTTATCGTCATTCTCAGTGGAAACTGCATTTATAGCCAAGATGTTTAAAAAAAATAGGTAAAAAAATTGCAATAAATCAATGGAAACTAGTACTACACGAAACATTGTTCTAAGTAGGTTATATTTTAATGTTCTCACACAACACATAAATGACTAGAGATCCTTTGATCTTAACATTAACACAACACACATGTACACGTTGATCATTTGATATATACGAGTATATATATATACATTAATACTGTTTTAGTACAACTACATATCTCTATGATACCTAAGCCGTGTTTCTAGATTCTCACTGCATAATGCATGCTATTAGCTACTAGCAATGCTTGTGTTTATGTAAGTACTAAACTCACCCGGATCCAGTACAAAAAATTCACATCCTTTTTATGGTCCTGGGCATTAAACAAGCAATATCCAGCCAGTAGGTAAGGAGTGCCTGACGCATTCATACCTAACCTAGGCTATAAAATGTACCTATTAGAGATCGCTGATCTCTCCTGATGATTCTCCTCATAATTAAGTTTCTGCGATTGTCATGTGTTTTGTGCATTAAAAAAACGATCTTAATAATGTAAGTAAACAGTATATAGTTCCTATTGTGAAGTCTAAGAAAAAAGTCTTGTACCTTAAAACTAGAAGAGCACACACAAAATAAGTGATTTATCTAACTAGATAAATAGATTATTATTTAGCCTAGTTAGGGAACTCAGACTTATAGAAACTTCTAGAAATGTATTTTGTAGTTGAAACCTTATTCTAGGTTGTTGAGAACCTGAGAGAGAGTTTGTTCAGAGTTCCCTAAATAACTTGAATCATTGCTTATGATGATAATTGACACTTGTTTATTTTTAAATGTTATGCACAAAACAATACTAATAGTAAAAAAAATGTGTAAGTATTTATATATGTATGTCAAATTTAAAGCATAAAAAATGAGATCAAAGCAGTGTTCATAATAAGCTTAAAAATTATTGCACAAAAACTTAGTTTCACAGCATACAAAAATTATGTTGTTTAGATCTATAAGCTATTAATGTAGTGTAGTATGAGATCTGTGAAGTTCAGCAGATGAACCTCTAGCTTGTGCCATCATAGTCTCTATCCTATTGGTAGTTTCGCGAACCATAGAGAACTCGGATAAATCCGGAAGGTCGAGAACAATATGAGCAGAGAGACGTTTGTAAACAGAATTAGAATCTTTTTTATTTCGCCTAGCTTCTTCATATTTTAACTGCTGTTTCAAAAATATTGACTGCTTTAACATTTCTTGGATGTTCTTGAAACTGGTTGCTGCACCATCCATTGATTTAACTGCACTGAAATTTAAATACATAATTGTTTAAAAAATATTCACTGGATAGGATTTTAGGAACAAATAGGAGTTTGAGTAAAGCTTACAAAACATCTACAAAGGTTTCATCCTTTGTTAACTTTGACTGCACGGATGGCGTAGTGGTTTAATCGGTCACCTCGCCGCTTCCTACTGCGCTGAGTGTTGTGAGTCTAAGTGCCCTTTGTGTCCGTTTAATATATGTTTGTAAAGTCCCCCGCGACACAGGATATATACCTAGTGGGGGAGTTGTGATCTTTTAAAGAAAAAAAAAGATTGTTTTTACGTTTTCATCTTTAAAAGATGTTTGGTATTCGGTGTTGTATATTCTCTTACACATCAGAAAAATCCTACTTATTTTACAATGTTTATATGATTGGAGGTTCAGATGATTATACCCCATCATGCAAAATAGGGTTGGAAAAACCACAATCACCTAGGATAATTCATATGATTTATAAATCATATAATCACACCATTGATTAATATACAAAACCACTTCGACTTAGGAGGTCAGGTACGAGTCAAACTCGTGCGCCGAGGGTTCCGTACCTACCCAGATTTTACGTAGATTTTCGCGAAAATTTGTAAGTACTTAAATTTAACTTAATTTTCAACTTTTTTTATTTTTTGGAATTATTCCTTAATTTGTGCTGTAAGACGTTTCTTTTTGCCAAATTTCGTGATTCTAGGTCATGGGAACTAGGTTGGTTTAAAGAAAATTTTCCTATATCTTTTTATCGTCAGGATTTTTATACTCAGGACCTTGATTTTTATACACCAAACAAGGACCATAGATCTCAGTATCTGGTATAAATTTCAACTTGCTAGGTCTACCCGTTCCTATTATATTTGTCTATGACCAACTCACAATCATAGATGAAATCACTCTGACTAAATCAATCATTTCAACAAATGAAAATGATTTAAAACTAGCAATAATTTTCTTCATCATCATCATCATCAGCCTATCGCAGTCCACTGCTGGACATAGGCCTCTCCCATTGCACGCCACTTAGATCGATTTTGGGCTTCTCGCATCCAGCTCCTGCCAGCCATCTTGCGCAAATCGTCACTCCACCTGGCCTGTGGGCGTCCTACACTACGTTTGCCGAGACGCGGTCTCCACTCAAGAACTCGTTTTCCCCAACGGTTATCGGTTCTGCGGCTAATATGGCCAGCCCACTGCCACTTCAGCTTGCTGATCCGGTACGCAAAATAATTAATAATTAATAATTAATAATTTTCTTATCTAATGCAAAACCATCTTAAATTATTCCAGTAATGAAAAGTATTTTTTCATTGGGATCTAGGTAGTCAATGCAGGTCAAGTTGCAGGCTAAAGCTGGATAAAAAAATATGACACTTTCAGCTGAAAGCTGCTATAGTCCATTCACATTAAGAAATCAGGTTGAAAGCTTTTGTATAAAACAATTTCTTGGAATCTGATTGGTCAGGGGGTGGGGTTTGATGAATTATGTTCCATTTCCAAGAGCCAGTCTACTGATCTGACACGATTTAAGAGTAATAGACTTCCTAGGTGTGTCAGTAGTAAAACTTGTTGCTTTAACTCTTATAGTTTTGTGTTTCATCTAATCTAATACCTTTAAACGAGCAATTCTTGTATTAAAAATATATATATATATATAATCTGAATCCCGGAAACAGCTCCAAAGATCTTCATGAAATTTAGTATTCAGGGGGTTTCAGGGAAAAAAAAGGGTGTTTCAGGGACGATTAATTGAATCTAGCTAGGTTTAATTTTTTGAAAATTTACTAAAAAAAAACAAAAAGAGTGAAACTCGATCATCCAGGTACTTACCTTATTACTTACTTACTAACCACGTACTACCATATCATTTGTATACCCACAGACATAGACAGAGCAACCCGGTTGAAATGAGGCAATTTAAAGATATGTAATACCCAGCCTGTGTTCATATTAATAAAATTCTGATATGTACCCATAATTCTCTTTTTTTTAAAGACAACTCAAGAAATATATTCTGTGTTGCACTTGACCTTACAAACTTACATGCCACGGACACAAAGAACACCAAACAACAAAGAACAATTTATGGATCACAGAAAGTGTTGTCCCATGTGGGGATCAGACCTACAACACAGCACAGTAGTAAGCGGCGAGGTGACCGCTTAAACGACTACGCCATATGTGCAGTCAATAACTAAATGAATAAAATAATAATTATCATTAAACTTCTAATTGGTAAAACAATATATAGAACCTGATCAGTCATTTCAGTGATTACCTTACCTTTAGCATACAAACTTTTTAATAGTAGAATAAATATAAGATATGGCTAAGTAAAGTAAAGTAAATAGCCCTAAACAAGTTGAAGCGCAAAACATACAGATAAAATAAAAAGGAGAAATTCATAAACAATAAAATATATTACTTGAGAGCATACTCGACGTCATAACATCTCCCTTGTAGTTCATGTTGCAATTTCGTTACCTCTACCCGCCTTTCAACCATGGGTGGGAGAGCTTTTCTAACATGTTCCTGAAGCCTGTACAACGCCAATGACGGCTCATTGGCTACTATGTGCATATTCTCCGATATTCTTTCCGCAGCTGAAAAACCAAAACGCAAATTTATAATTTATTTTTTAAACCTTCAGTTCAAATATCGGAAACATACCTTTCTTTGCTTTGGATTCCAATTCGGGATCTCCTTGATACACAAAAGCCATGTTTGTGGAATATTAAGCTTAAGTATTTGTTAGGCTTATTTTGTCTTAAACATTAACAAAATCTTAATATTACAGATTTTAAACAGAATTATACACTACGGATAAATAAAACAAACAACTTATAATAATAAGAATATTGTCAGTGACAGTATGCCAGTAATTCAGTACCTAGTTGTCAATTGTCAATTTGACAATATCAAAAACAATGATACCAATGCCAACGATAAAACTACCTGGGCGTCTTCTTAGTCTATTTTAAAAACGGCTCAATTTTTATGGATAAAAATTTACAACAAAAAAAATCTTAAGCACTTAAATCAAATTCGCACGAATACTATACATATGTCCATATAAATTATTTATGTAAATTAATCACTTTTTTTATATTTAAATATACTCAAAATTTTCCTATTAAAAAAACCAGATATATTTTAATATTAACTTTGCCAAAGAAAGGGTAATTGGGACTAATCCCACCCACACGCCCACCACTGTAACTCCTGTACACCAGGATCCACAGCAGTGACCCACGAACACACCGAGTTATGACACTCGGGAAGTCCCAGGAAGAAATTAAACTGTCTTGGAACCCGCAACGAAATTAATCAGAAGAAAATTGGAGGAGTTGGAAATACAGTAAATCCACTTCCCTCCTTAGCAAAGCGGGAGACAAAATGAAGTAAAATAGGCATACACCCTTTTAAACAGGGAAGCACCACGGCCACAAAATATTACGGGTCCTACATGAGCTATATTTGATTTCTATAATATGTATGGCAGAATCGCCTAAACGCACGGAAATTCACCCTAGTTGACACAAGATCCCCATAGTATACCGCCCCAGATGTCACCTGCAAGCTATTCAGCATTATATTACGTTCATTATACCAAAGACTACATTCCCAGAGGATATGATGAGCAGACTGTTCATAATGAGAGTTAGGTGTTGAGCATTGACACAATGGTGACTCGACTAATTTAAATGAATACAACTTGCTCTTAAAGTTACCATGACCCGTAAGAAATTGAGCGACACAGTGATCCACCTCAAGCCATGTCCTCGACAACCGTTCGCGAACAGATGGAAAAATTGGTAAAGATGGCGCCCCTTGGATGATTCGTCCCAGCGTTGCTGCCATTCGTCTATGAGGTCATTATAGACATCGGACTGCTGTTGAAGCAATCTTGTAATTTTACCGCGATCCCGCGCGCCCAAGAAATCCCATTCCATGTTTTGTCTTGAATAGTACATGGCTGCACGTCTCTGCACCTCGAGATCGACCGGAAGGACACCCGCCAACACCGGCAAAGCCTCAGTGCTAACCGTCCTATATGCCTTGCACAAAAATATCAGTGCAAGTCGTTGGCCTTGTAACAGTTTGCGACGGACAGCGCCTACGGTCGCCCTATCGGCCCATACAGGTGCACCATAGCACATAGAACCTAAATAAGTAGCTCCGTATATGATCTTTAATGTATTAAATGATAGACCCCATGTCGCAGTTGATATCCTTGTCAATGCACAGAAACTCTTTTTAGACTTTTCATTAACTATTTTAATATGTTCGATAAATGAAAAGTTTCTTTCTAAAACTAATCCTAGATAACACACTGTGGTTTTATTTTTTACAGTAACATTGTCAAATCTAATGCTCGGCGGTGATTTGAGGTTACCTTTTAAAAGTAACTGGAAGGTTTTGTTGGGTGCAAAAGTTAAGCGATTACGTTCACCCCATTGAGATATCAAGTTCAAACATCTATTGGCTAATCTCTCAAGCCCCGCCCTAGTATCAGATTCCACCAGTAATAAGCCGTCATCAGCATACGCGTTCAGAGTACATCCGGATGGTATTGGTATCGTAAGAAAATCGTCGAAGCCGATATTCCACAAGTATGGACCTAGCACCGATCCCTGAGGACATCCCATTGTAAGCGCCTTCGACACAGAATGATGACCAAGTCTTAGTTTAGTTGTACCTTGTGAAAAGTACGAAGAGATAAGGGAATAAATATTTTTAAAACACCCCCGTGATTTTAATTTCAGCAACAGCATGGGCCACCATGCGTTGTCGAAGGCGCCAGATATATCTAAGAAAATAGCCAGCACGTATTGAAATTTTGACTCTGTGACAAACTTTCTAACCGATATAACAGCGTCAGTTGTCGATTTACCCAACGTAAATCCAAATTGTCTATCATGAAATTTGACTCCACCTGGCAGAAGCCGGGGCACTACAAGACGTTCTAAAAGCTTTCCTAACGATGGTAACAATGTGATTGGTCGGTAGGATTTAGGATCATCCGGTGGCTTGTCGCCACTTTTTGGTATTATACGAATATTACCGCACCGCCATATACGAGGAAATATTCCTTCAGCAATGCAACGTTTAAAGACAGTGAAAATCGTGTCACCCGAAAGTTTACAAGCTTCTTTTATCATTTTGTTAGATATTTTATCATCACCCGAAGCCTTGTTTAGCGGCAAGGATCTAATGATACCGAGAAATTCGTCTGAAGATGGTAAATCAGACATTGGAGACAGTGGTGGTTCGATGGCCCACTGCCTGATCTGTCGGTGATGATCAGTGTCGTTTTCCGGTCGATCGTCAGGTACGAGTGAGTCTAAAAGATATTCTGCTGTTTGTTCTACTCCTGTGGTATATCTGTTATTAAATTTGATGTTCTGTATGTATGCGTGGTCGATTGATCTATTTGCCTTAAATTCGTGATACAAAGGTGACCACGGGCCTTCTCTATCGAGTTTATTAACAAGTTTCTGAATTAAGTTTCCCTTGGATTTTTCCACAGCAGCTCTGTAGTGGGACCTGGCAACTCTAAGAGCAATGAGAGCAATGTTGTACAAATCTCCTGTTACGTTATGTTTTTTAATAGTGTTTAATTTTCTACGAGCTTTCCGGTAACTTCTACGTAGTTCGGCTAATCTATCATTCCACCAATCACATCTACGAGTGTTAGTGATAGATCCGCGACCAATAGTTACATCAGCGCAGTATGTAAAAGTTTCTGATAGTATTTCTGCGCTTTCCTCAGCTGATAAACTACTGCGACTGAAGTCTTTGGTATGAGTTGCAAAGAGTGAACCAAACAAAGCCCAGTTCGCACCTTTAGTTTTATATCTAAAATTATAGGGAGCCCTTTGTGGATCCTGTGCAACCCTTGGTGTGAATTCGTACACGATCAAGCGGTGATCACTACAGGATGCGTCCGGAAGGACACGCCATTAGGATATCGAGACGTCGCCGCGCGTAAGCGTCACGTCAATAGAAGACTCACCCATTGGGTTGCAAAAAGTTGGTGGTGCATCGGGGGTATTGTGAATAATAAGATTCATTTCCGCAATGAAATCTTCAACCGCACAACGTCGAACCGTGTCGGTTGAACGCAACTTGCCATACCATAATGAAGATGACGCATTGACATCAGCGCCAATGATAATTTTATGTCCCACGAGGAACTGCAAGACGTAACGTAAGTGATGTAAGTGAGGATCAATAGGATGTGAATATTGAAAATAGCAGCTCACTACGTAAACCTTACAGGTAGAGGATGAGATCTCAGCAACGGCGCAGTGTGACGTCATAAGATTACGCAAAGATGTTACCGTAAAATTAGAACTTGCAACATATATCCCAGCCTGCGAACGGCAGTCAAGCTGTACTACATTACGACGCAAGTGAGCGCTCTGATATTGTTCTTGTAAAAGGACAATGTCTAACTTTTGTTCTAAAATTAAACGGTCTAATTCTGATGTAAGGGTAACATAATAATACATACACTACAACATAATACATACATACATACACATCAGAATTAGCCTATTATACAATACAACATAATAGGCTAATTCTGATGAAAGAAAGGGTAACATAAAATGACATTAGTATTACACTTGCCTGACGGCACTTGTGGAAGTCCAGCCCATTGTCCCCTCATTTGAGGCAAGAAATCTCCCAGAAGTTGACAACTCTGAGGGCCTAGTGCGAGTTTATTTCGAGTTTTGATCGGTGAAAATTTCAGCGAAGCGAATGATAGATCTGCGATTAGCTACTTATTAACTGGAGTTAATAAGTAGGTATGTAATGTATTGTATGTTAATGAGTATAATAATTGGAGAGATGGATAATAGATAGATGCCTCTATCTCTATCTGGAGATAGAGATAGAGGCATCTATCTATTATCCATCTCTCTCGTTGCTATCTGGATATTGCAAGATTGGGGCTCTTATTCATTCTATGCTTATATTCTATAGATGGATCAAATGGTTGATTTGATTGTTAGGTGTCAATCAAACCTAGGTAACTTTAATGAATTTAAAGTTAATATTTCAAATACTTAATACTACAAATATATTTATAAACAAAATTGCGCACTTCCAATTCAAAAGTCCTAATTAATAATGTTACTGAGGAATCAATTGAAGAATTTGGTGTGATTACTGATTATGGAGTGTAGAGGCAAGGAGAACCATCTCTTAAGGGGGAATATTGAAAGTGTCCAGCTGTATACTGAAAGTAGAGGTCGCTGGCGTACAAAAAACTACCATAAGAAAATATCTGATGTAGGAGGAATGAAGTGTGCTGAGTTAAAATATATACTTTTACTGTCCGAAAGTTATTAAACGTTTATTTATTGTCTGTAAAGCTCATTGGCTATTTTCGCAGTCTAGTACACAGCACATTCAAGGGAATAAAAATTTAGCCTAGACTAAGCAAAGTTTCACACACAGAGATGGTTCGACTTGCCTCTCTACACTCCATAAGTGGAATTAGATCAAAACGTCAGAACGAAAGTATTTGAAAAATACCTTTTGTGAGTAGTATTCCAGTAATTGAGTAAATGGACAATTAACGAAGATACCCGGTTATATTTGGTCCTGGTTGTGGTTCTTTATAGGAAGACTATAGTCCATCAACGTCGTGCGCGACCGTCCTGCGGGGTGACAGACGGTGGCGGGGACGAGGTACTCAAGATATCGGCGGGTAGCGGGTGGTGTAGCGGGGAAGGGAAACGTCTTCGTGTGTAGCCGTGTGCTAGAATGACGCGTTACCTCGCCCCCGCCACTGTCTGTCACCCCGCGGGACGATCGCGCACGAGATTACCGGGTTATAGCTTTCGTCCGCGACTTTATTTGCGTGGTGGTCATTATTTTTGATAGAGTACATTTTAAGGGTAGTTTTGAAAAATCAGTCACAGCGTTTTTCATTACTATTAATAAAGAGTAAAGTAGAGTATTTACTGTGAGTTTAAAAACGCTGCTTTTAAAAATAATAAAGTTTCCAAATCCAATGCTTAAATTTCCAACCCCCATTTTTTTAAATCCCTTACTAGTGCACACCTACGTCACCTAAGGAACATGTGTAATTTCATGCTTCTAGGACGATTACTGACTGATACTGGTGAATGATGATAGCTAATCTGATGGTATTCTACTGACAACTGACACAGAGTTGTTATCAAGTAAAATGGTTAAAAAATTAAAAGTACAGCATCATCATGATCATCATCCGATGATGATAGGCCGATGCGATAGCGCTAAGTACAGCTCTGACTAATAAATTTCATCTCTATGTAAATTTCTAAACGTGATCTGTCTCATAAAATATTGTTGTCAAGTCAATCTGCAATTCTCGTAATAAAAGTGCGGTCTCATTTCAGTTCCGATGAACTTTCGATCTCAAAACTGTCATATCGAAAGTCGATCGGAACTGAATTGTGACTGATTGTGAACGAACATTTATTAAGAGAATAGGCCTTCTGGTCAATCTAGTGAACTGATGAACTCTAATCTGGGCAGAGTGGTCAGTGCAGTACCTACTATTCCCAAAATTAAAAATGTAATTGACAGTAATTAATTTTTGTTCATTATCTTTTCGTATGTTATTATCTAGTACCGTATGTTATCAGATAATATTATTTATTATCCTGTGTTAATGATACTATGGCTTATTTCCCAACTAGTTCCGTTTACAGTGAGTACAACATCGCAAGTTCTTTGTAACTTTGTGCATAACTGCAGATAATTAATATACTGTAAACAAAGTAAAAAGGGTTTTCTACCTCCATATTTCTTACCTTTTTTTTAAATCCATTAGGTCATTTCTGAACGTTTTAAATGGTGAGTAACTATTGAACAGTACTGTAACAGTATGAAGGTAGTATTTTTTTTTTACAGCGGTTTTAATTTAGCAATTTAATTTACAGGACACTAAACTGGTCAACAGCACATTGGGACTACTTCTTAATATATTTTTCCCTATTAAAATGTTGCTCAAAATATATTCATTGTGTATCCTCATGGTAGATATTGTATGGGTGATGTTTAATACAATGTGTGCAGTGCTGCAAGCAGTTTATGAACTTTTCAAGCCTCCACCCTTGAAATCTGTAAGACTGGAAACTGCTATGGTAAGTTTTGTAAGAGTAATTTTCATAATTTTGGTAAGAAAATTAGTCTTAACTTATTACCCGACTGCGTCAGAAGGAGGGTTTTGCTTTGTGTGTATGTATATTTCTTTGGCACCTCTGTAGTCTAAATAGCTTGATGAATTTCGGCGTTTAAGGAGTCGTTAGATACGTGTTAATTTTAAGTGACACTGGATTTATAAAAATTAAATTCACCAATTTATAAATTTTAAGTAAACCTTTTCACACAGTTCATTTAAAAAAAAAATAGTTTGCAAATTAACAAATTCAATCAACTTTCAAAATTACTAAATTTATCATCTGATTATACTTATGTTGTAATAGTTAATAAGTTACTATATTTTTAAAATCTACCTACTATACATAAATCATCAATTAGTACTATAGGTATAGGTATAAATCAATTACTGTTTTTTTTTTATAATACATAATTGGTAACCATATGATACCCAATAGTTTATTGCTTCCATAAAGTAAATGTTATCAATTATTGAAATTGTTGGGCACAGCATAGAAGAGAGAGAGAAGGGTTTTTATTTATTATACCTATACAATATATGTATTGTTTGAATAAAATCTTTGTACATAATCAATATTTTTCATTAATTTATTTAGTAATTATTTATTGCACTTTCATATTTAATGTAACTATATTGTTATTTAAACATTATGCTCCCACCATGGTAGCACAATAGTCAAGATACAGTTGCTGGGCCATATCCTACCCAAATCACAACCATTGTTAACTTTAGTTTAAGGTTTTTTTTCTACTTAATTACTCAATATCTTTAAATTCATGTCAATTTTTGTGTGGGCCCTTATCAGACATTTTTGGATCACTTGATAAATTGCGGACTAAATTAATTCTAACAGTATTTTAAAATAGTAAAATAACTAAATTTTTGTTTCATTTATTTACTTAGTGTGTTTAATTCAAACCAACTAGCTAGCTAGCTGACGTTATACAGTATACACATGCACACAGTACTGTATACACAGAACCATAATTACTTAGAGATACAAACTGAGATGTTCCCTCTAAATTTTATTTCTTTCAATTACAGGTTATTGGTTCTGGTCGAGGTGTGGGCCGTGAGATAGCCATACAATTAGCTGAACTTGGTGCAATAGTGATTTGTGTAGACAAAAATATCTCATCAAATGAAGATACAGTTGAAATAATTAAAAGGAAAGGTGGATCTGCAGCTAGCTATAATTGTGATGTAACTAAAAAGGAGAATGTGAAGATGTTAGCTACTCGAGTCAGGAAAGATTTAGGTTTTGTGAGCATGCTGTTCTACTGTTGCGGTATACCAAGTCCAAGATCATTGCTGACAAAGCCTCCACAAGATATTCATGTTACATTAGATTTGACACTTACATCTTATTTTTGGGTATGTTTATAGGGTTTTTCTTTGTCATTCCCTTTGGACTCATATCCAGATCGTGACTTGTTTGTGGATGGATGCCAGATGTCTGGTGTACCTACCGCCAAAGTTTATTTTTTATTAACATTTCTCTCTTCAACAGTTTAAAGGGCTATTCTGATAAAGAATAAAAAATTATCACACCTATCTATATATATATAAGAGATTTCCACGTATATAGTCACTCATCACGATATCTCTGGAACCATTAGAGCTAAAGACTTGAAATTTGGTAGGAATATTCTTTTCACCGAGTAGAGGTCAGCTAAGAACGGATTTTAAGGAATTCAAAAAAATAATAATTAAATAATATAAATAGCAAAACAATGTTTGCAGGGTCAGCTAGTTATAAATATATTATATGCAGACAGAACAAATAATTGTGTTTGAGTCGTTTTTGAATTCATTTTCTTTAGAAGTCAAAAGGTTAAGGTTTTAAAGTATTACTAGATAATGTGACTCCGTTTCTTATCAGTATTAATAACAATGTCAAGTAACTCTCTTATCAGTACATTTTCATTGCATGTTCATTCAAGCATTTAGAATATATCAATAGATATAATGTAATGTATTTACAATTCCAGTTCATCGAAAATTTCGTACCAGAAATGAAAACGAAGAACCACGGTCATATAGTAGCATTAACTTCTGTGGCTGGGTTGAGTTACATCAAGGATCAAATGCCTTTAAGTGTAGCTCAGTTTGCTGTCCAAGGTCTTGCTGAGTCATTGACCGAAGAGCTGAGGATCAATAAAATTGATGGAGTGCGTGTGACTCTCGCACATATCTACCCTTTCATAGTCAACGATGAAAATGAGTTAAGACTGAAGTGGGTGACATTTTTTTTTAAATTCGTATCTAGATTTTGCCTGCGTGTATGTATGTATGTTATCTCGGTAGAAAATAGCCTATGTTACTTATACTACTTACTATATAATGTAGTTTGCCATTGATGGAAGAATTTTTAAAATAGGTTTAGTGGTTTAGGTGTAAAAGCGTAACAAACAAACGCACTTTCATATTTATAATATAAAAGTATGTGTAGTTTAACATATATTAATCTAAAATAATAATAATAACAACTTATAATAATAAATATTAATAATAATACATCTCACACACAGCTGTCTGGTCCCAACCTAGGCAGAGCCTGTGCTATGGTAACCAGACTGCTGATAAACAGACTTATATATTTTTAAATATACATACATATCCATACTAATATTATAAATCCGATAGTGTATGTCTGTCTGTTACCTTTTCACTCTTAAACCGCTGAACCAATTAAGATGAAATTTGGTATAGAGTAGTCCGAGTCCCTGGAAAGGACATAGGGTAGCTTTTTATCCTAGAAATTATCCTCAAATCAAATAATCATCCTTTAAAAGGGTGAAAATGGGGGTGGAAGTTTGTATCGGGAATCAACAACCGCTGAACCGATTTAGATCAAAATTTGGTATGGAGATACATTGATTCTCGAGGAAAGACATAAGTTTTTTTTACCGGGATAACCGACATTATAGATAAATTACTCCCAGAATCAAATACCGCATGGCATTGATTTGGAAACAGGACTGAGATTGCAGTACCAACAAAGAGGTCCGCCTTTTCAAGGTACTCAGAAGTTCGCGTACTCGTATATTCTTTTAGTCCAGTGATTGGAAACGCCACCAGAAGCGATACATTAAAAATATCTTCAGTCTGCAGCATAGACTGCAGTCCATGAGGCCTCGGGTTCGATTCCCGGACTAGGCAAAATTTTATAGGGTTTTTCTGAGCTTAAATTACTCCTTATATAGGCACCTACCTGGTAATAAAATATTATCAAAATCGATCCAGCCGTTTTGAAGATTACCAGCTTACCCGGCACAAACAGACAGACAAAAAATATTTAAACTAGTTTTTAGGTATAGGTATCGTGAAAAAACTCTTATTTTGACATTATGAACACACATTTCAATTTTATTTATTAGTACAGATTAATTTAAAACGATGACCGTCACCGATATGACGTAATACTGTATTAATAAACTAATCTAATCAATGTTCTGAATCTGTTGGCTCAATTTGTATTACAGTGTCTCAGATTATGATATTAACATAATCTGAGACACTGTAATACAAATTGAGCATTGTAATACAAGTGTCCAGTGCGAGGGTGGCGGCGATACCTGTCTGCTTGTTTGCCCCTCTATGATTAAAAAAATGTAAATTCTAAACTGACGAAAAAATATATCTGATATTGTATGTTTTTACAGAATACCCAGCTACTTCGGCACGATAACTCCAAGCCAGGCAGCAAGTTCGATTCTAGACGGTGTAAGGCGTAACTACTCCGAAGCGTCAGTACCAAAGTATTTGTTATATCTTGGCCATGTTTTGCGTATTCTACCACGAAAAGCCACTGTCCTTATTAGGGACTTACTAGACACAGGAGTGGACTTTGCATGATTCCGTGTGTGAAGGTTTAGTACTCTTGGTCTCATTAATGTCAAATTGTATAAAAACGTTAATGTAGAGTGAGATGCAAACTCACGATAGTCCCTCTATATTTTGGTCTGTATCTAAGTGTGTCTACTGTGCGAACTGCTCTAGTCCAATTTTATAATTCATTAGAAATTTATATTCTGTGAAACAAACAAAATAGTAACAGCGTAAATACACATATGCGCAATAGATACACTTTCTCTAACAAAAATCGCATAGAATACCGGCAGAAGAATGGCCCCAGTTAGTTCTACATGCTTGCTTAACATGCCTAAACCTAGACATTCTTATAATAAAGCAGACCATCAGACCAGCCACAATAAATGTCCTGTGAATTGACTTGTTGTGGAAAAAAAAAAACAAAGTATCGTTATTTACAGTGTCAATACAGCTATAAGAAACTCGTACCAAAAGTATGATATTTCTTACGTTTTCTGAATTTTTATTAAAAGTTGATAAACATACTTTATACATTGCTTTATAATAATATTGAAAGTGTACTTTTGTATATGTAATAGAAGAAGTAGGTATTGTTTCAATTTCAGGTATTATTGTGTTTTTGTAATAAATATAACTATAAAAATCTATTATACAGTGATAGGGATTAAACACGTGCCGGCTATTAAATTTATAATAAAAATAATACTACTAATATCGATTCTCCAGTTCAATGGTTAAGCATTTTTCAAGAAACACAAAATTATATCTTTTAATAACATGAACAAAGTATTCAGTTTCTAAAGCTCTATCGCATATATTCTAGAAATTTACGTGATGTCTGATATTTATGTAAAAGCCATTTAAAATTATATTTTATAAAAAAAAAGATGGAAACATTTTAAAATAAAGAGGCTTTATTTATTTATATGTATATTATGTTATTGTTTTAAAGCTCTCTAGTTTATATAAAAGTTACGAAAAATTACAATATTTTTCAACCATTAAAACTTCAAATTAGAAAATAGTTGCTTGCTACTAAGTTAAAGTTAAGTGTTAAAATTAGTAAGCAAAATAATGCTGTTTAGCGAAATAACTAGAATACTTTATTTTAGCATTTCTAGTGCTACAGACTTAGTATCAAAAGAATTCAGAAAGTAAAAATGGTCAATTTATTAACATATCCCAATGAATTTTGAACTAATTTGAAAAACGAAGAAGTTTGACTGATAAACTGAACTGATTTCAATACTTCTTTTTGTGATGGATTTGATTCTACCCAAGATTGCATTCCATGGGTGTAAAATTAAAGGATCAAGAATATGGCTAATAATAATTTATCACGACTTAGTCGCATTGAAGTCAGTGATACCTTTTTTAAAGTCAATTATTTTACATGTTGTCATGTAAGGAGATACCCATTGTGCCTTTTTAAATTGTGTTTTTTTATAGCCTATTTTGTATAATTTTAACCTAAAGACTGTACCTAGTTTTAAATACTTTATGAAATAAATAATATTGTATTTTTTAAATTATTGTTGTATTATTTTTGCCATTTATGTCTTCCTCTCCAAGACACGATTCGTTTTGTCTACTAACGGTAAAATTTAAATAGGCGTAATAGTCCGGGGCCAGGTAAATTGGTGAGACGCATCAGGGAGTTGTAGGCGGCTGTTCTACGGATAAGTTCCAAGAACAACAGCCCCGGGCCAGAAGGGAGCCCGAGTACTGGCAGTTAAGCACTTGTCAGACCGCCTGGACTTGGCGCCCCGACGGTTCCCTGAGTGTTGGAAGAGCGCGAAGCTGGTGCTTGGCTTGGTTGAGTAGGGCGTTCGACTGTCGGTTTGCTATCTTAAATGTGTGCCGCATCTGCTTTTAGGTTTTCTTGACAAAAAATACGGGCTTGTTGGTCTAGTGGTTTGTGACCCTGACTGCTAAATCGGAGGTCGTGGGTTCGATTCTCACCCGAGACAAATAATTGTTTGATGAACACGATAATTTTTTGTGTCTGGGTGTAATTTATCTACAATATGTAACTACATATTTAAAAATATTCAAGTAGGTATATTAAGTCAGGTTACCCTTTCACAGGCTCTGCCTAGTTGAGGATCAGACGATCATGTATGAAATGTGAATGCTATTATTAATATAATACGGAAAGCTTCGATCAACAATAGCAACTAGATAAAGGGTCACGTACAAAGTCAAAGCTAAATCACGGTACTATTATAATACAGTAGTGTAACTCGGCCGCATGATGGAAATAAATGCCTACGGCCGCGCGGTACGTAAACATGCGTTAGGGCTGCCCGTCTCCAGCATTTTAATTATATTTGCCTACTTTCTGTTTCTATTCAGATTTGTGATTGTAAATATCCTTTTTATATAAATAAATGAAATACTTTGTATATTGAATAGGAAGTGTTCAATAAAAATGCGTGTTGTTTTTTGATTGGTAGATTTAATTATTTTATTTTCTTTCTGCATTGGAGGAGTTTTTAGTGGTATATGTTGTTATAGTAGCAGCAGAAACACTTTGTGAAAATTTCGAAAACTATCTAATGACACACAGACGGTAAAATTTTTTTTCTAGTATTATTCATACACACAGATAATAAACAAATATTATTAAAAATAAAATACCACGTCTTTACTTTGAATTATGCAAAGTAACAAAACACACATGCACCGAAGTTTTAACACAAGCGTAAGTAGGTAGGTACCTACCGTATCATGATTCATTCAGAACCTCATATAACTACCTATTTCACTCGTCTCAATAACTTTCCGTTACTCTATTCGCTTTATTAATTAATCCAAACACTAGTAAGTAATTTAAAAAAAACCTTATGTCTGGATGCGTTATTGACGAATTCATACAACCAGAAACAGCACAATATTTCCTACTCGTCATATTAACTGATTTTTAGAGAAAAAAAAATCGCGCGGTTATTGTTAAAAAAACAACACACCGTCCGTTCGACACTGCGGTACAGCCGTGACTGTCTGCGCCCCGAGCGCACCCCGAGATCGAGGCGCGTAGGTATAGCTCGCGTTTCGTCCGTTTGTATGAAGTTGGAGTACTGTATTATAATTGTACCGTGGCTAAATGCTGTCCGCGTGAATATATACTTATGCCGGTACATTTGTTTACCAACAAACGGATGGAAAAGTTTTAAAATAGTTTTAAGTTCAACCTAATTACAACTATGGTACACAGTAATAAAGTCACAAATCTTCAAAATATTATCTAATACTTACGATCACTCCTTGCAAAAAACGAGCAAAGCAATAAATTACTCCTATCACTTTCAAATGAAAAGACATAACTTAAATAACATTTAGTGTAAAATCAACCTTATGGTGCAACAAATAAAGAACTTTTTCTCGTTATTGCCTTGAGAGCTACATCGCTTTGTTTTGTTTTATTTTTGCTTCTTCTAGTTTTACTACAGGAGGTATGGAGTCGCGTTGAACACTAAAATAATTTATAATATGTACGTAAAATATTAGTTGCTTACTTTTTATGTTTCGGACATCTATGTATGTTTGTTAGTATCTTTACATTACTTATTATTTTATTAACGTTACGTTTTTGTGTAATATGTATGTGTATTTACTTTATCACATATAATGTGGTATTTGCAAAAGCTATTTAGACGGATACAGTATTAATCGTTATCAAAATAAATACGTTAGTTATCTTAAGCAATTCATACACATTATAATAGCCCCTTACACCATACAATTTAAATGAATATGTTAGGAGATATCTTAAATTAAAAACTACGAGCAAGTGAATAAATTCGCGAATAAAACTCATCCAAACCAACAAGCTAATGCAAAAAAATGTAGGCATTTAATGCTTTAAGCGACCCGCCCTGACACCAAAAGCAGGACAGATATACTAAATAAAATATCTCTAAATTCCACATAAAATTAACCAACCAATTTTGAAGTTCTGTTAAGAATTTTTATTGGTAACATTAATTGATAATGACAATAAGCAGTCTTTAATTTAGGACAAAAACGACAATATTTTTTGTGAACTACCCTTATTCAAAGGGTGTTTGAATCCAAAGTCCTTAAGATTTCTAGTATTTAGGATATCAAAAAGATCATTTAGTATCTTAATAAATTCTACTGTGCATTCTGATTCTCTAAATGCGGGAATATTTAAGGTTTTATTACAAAAGTCTATAGCTTAAAAGTCTATAAGTCACTAGCAAATCTACAAACAAAAATAACATTACAAAATAACAACACTACTCCATGCATTCCCTGTTCAAGAACAGTCGATGTTTGATACAATAATTGGTGCGTTGTAGCAAACATTGGCCAAACAATTATAACATTCGCTAATTGAATTTTATTTACAGTTTAATTCTCTTTATACTTATTATATTATGAAAAAAACACTTATTGATATTAACTTACCGAAAAAAAGATATTCCTTGCAAAAACTTGGTGTTACGGTGGTTATTTACACAGTTTTTGATCGCGCACTGCGGCATTTTGACGTCCTATTGTTGGCTATGATTGGACCGTACTAATTTGAAATAAGAGCACAAACAGTTTTGTGCTCTTATTTTTCGGGCCGTTTTTGAAGCGCTTATCGGAAATCTAGTACTATTATTGATCGAAGACGGAAAGAGAAAAATACCATCTTTACTCACCTACTCATGAGTGATGTAAAATTAGCAATATTTTAAGTTATGAGAGACAGAAACAGTACAGTAGGTACCTATACATTTACGCTGACGCTAACTTTAACCCGCGACTTCGTTTACTAAGAAGGCGAAAATGTTTTTAAATAATACGTAGGTACGTTAAGGTGCTATTTCCGTGCGTTAAGGTCTCAAAATAAAATAAAAACCCCGATTTTGAAACGTTCTTCATTGGTGCTCCGCTCCTATTGGTCTTATATATAGCCTCTAGCCTTCCTCGATAAATGGGCCATCTAACACTGAAAGAATTTTTAAAGCGGACCAGTAGTTCCTGAGATTAGCGCTTTCAAGCAAACAAAC